TCTTCTGTAATTTAAGTGTTCTACTCTCCTCACAGCTCAGCAAAAAGCCTTCCTTGCTTATGTTCCTCAGTTTTCAGGGTTTCATGGTAAAGTTCTTTTTTCACATTCCCTTTCATCCGATGGAGGAGCCAAAAGCAGCTGTTGTGTCCCAGTGAAGCGATGGGTGACTCACAGCTCTCCTTGTCCTACGGCTGGCAAACACTCCAGTGCAGGACTGATGGATCTGAGCCTGTTCCAGCTCACTTGTGGCCCTGGCTGTGCCCTGAGCTGTCCCCCAGCGTGTTCCTCACCTTCAGCAGTGCTTTCCAGGAGGGTGCTGGGCAAGTGCCTTTCCCTGCATCCCCTGGTTGGCAGCAGTTCTTCCCTGCTGGAACTGCCTGTATGTCAGTAGGTTTCTGAATCTTCCTCCCAGCACTTGGTAATGAAAACCACTTTCTTGACAGCCATTAAGCTGGGTAAGGAATACTCCATTGTTCTGTTCAAGTAACCTTTCTGAGGAATGCACCTGACCTTTGTTCTTGCCCTGGGTTTTGCTGGAGGTAGTTTGATGCCTTATCTTTACTTCCTTTCATGCTGCTTCTTTACTCCTGGTGTAACAAAGTGTCCTTGGCTATACTTGATTGGTGTTTTCACTTATTAAATGTACTCATGAATGTTTTTTTTTCCCTCACAGCCCACTCTCAGGCAGAGGTTGTGCAGGGTGGTGTCTAATTCATAACAAAGAACTGGGAATTCTGAGTTAGCAAGGAAGCTCTGAAGGCTGGCTCAGTTACCTTTACATTCACTGCGGTGCAGCTTAAGTTGCTCCCATTGGTTTTTTTGAAATAAAAATTCAGCATCCAGGATACATAACTTGGGTTTTAGGGTTTGATGTGTATGTTTTCTCCTAACTCTTCCCTAGAGTAACCTTTGGAAATAGGTGTTAAATTTGGTGACACTGTGTTGTAATCCTTGTTCAGCTGTGAGTTTTGAGTCCCATTTTAGTTGACTTACCAATCAGCAACAGTAACATGTGTGAACATTTACTCCCCCAAAATAGCCATTTCCTCAGCAGGAGCTGTGGTTCTAAAAGATATGACAAATGAGTTGTGATGCACATTCTCAGTTTACTTTTTTTTTTGGTTGGTTGGTTGGGTTTTTATTTCTGTGGAGCAGGAGGAGAAAGGAAGTGATAAGGGAAGGAGAACTGGCCTTTTTTGGTTCATGTTTTTTCTCCACCTGCTGCTGGGCAGCTACATTTTTATATGAAGTAGGAACAATTTCTTTAATAACTGCAGATTAAAAATGTTATGTATCTAGAAATTATGCAGTAGGTGATGTTCAAGGCATCATCTTGATTACATTGTAGCTTTTTTGTTCCAGTGAGAGCTTTTCACTTGGAGGATTGGGAGGTTTACTACGTGTGAAAATGACATAAGTTATTTATATAATTTATATTATATATATTATATTATATTATTATTATATATATTATATATATAATATATATATTATATATATTATATATATAATATATTATATTATATTTATATTATAAATGAAATAAGTTATTTATAGAATAAATTATTTTCTCTAACTGGAGCCCAAAATATGAAAATATAAAGACATAACAAAGTGTGATAGGGCTGTTTTTTAAGAAGGAATGGTTGTTGCTTGCCATTGTTACCTGGCTTCTGCTTCACTTCAGTGATGTGCAGTTGCTACTCTCGTGCTTCAGGCAGAGCCAGAGAGAATCCACATTTGTATGCAGAGTTCTCAGGGTTCCCAGCAGCCTCTGGTCAAAGCCTGACACCTGTCACATGGAGCTGGGTGGTATTTTCAGGATGGACCAACAGATTTCTTCTTAAAGTTGCAGTAGGAGAGCAGGTCACCCCTAAGAGCTCAGATCAAGCTTCAGGCTCTATTTTTAGAGGTGCATACCAGGGGAAAAGGAGAAAATCTCTCAGCTTTCAGGAAAAGGAGCAGTGTTTGCATCTCTGAGGTACATGAGTTCTGAAGTTCCCGAGTGAAGAGTAGCTGGTGAAGCAAAGCATAAAGCCCATGAATGAGTCTTTATTCAGGGAACTTCTCAGTGTAGCTTCATCCCCGTGTTTTACCTCTTGAGAAGGGGTGAACTTGGTCACACAAGACCCCCAGGGAGTTTGAAATTAGATCAAATAGGGTTCAGACTAGCAAGGAACACAGACCTCTCCTTCAGGGAGGTATATTATTTTTGATGAAGTTGTGATACATTAGAACTTAAAGGGTCAAAGAACAGCAAGTGGTCATTCAGAGCCCACGTAACCCATGGTTAATGATTATAAAGCAGGAGTTAAACAAATCTGGTTTGTACAATAGGAGGTAAAGCATTTGTGGGTTACTTTAAATAACACTTCTTTTTTAAAGGAGCAGTTTGAAAACACTCTTTCACTCTGGAAAAGCCTTCCTGCATTTTAAGCTATGAACTGCCTTGCCCAAATTTACAGGTGGCATCAAGAATCCTGTTGAAGAAACTGGAGTTCTAAATGCTGCCAGCATTAAAATTAATAACTCAAGTGTCTCTTTGGGAGCAGAGTGTTCTTTGGATGTATTAATTTTTAAAAATTTTCTCAGACACAGACTTAGAAAAACCCTGGACTCAACTAGTGATCAGTCTGTGTTCTTGTACGTGAGATATTTTTCAAACTCAGTGGATGTTTCTGGAATTATGATCCTTTGTCTGTGTAAAATACCAGAAGGTGAGGGCAGGATCACCCAGTGTATAATTCAGTGCAGACATAAATCATCATAATTCTGAGATATGCTCATCAACCCTGCACCTCTGTAGTTCTTGAGATCTAAATCTTGAATTGCCTTGTCTGTTAAATGTGTTCATGTGTACTTTTCAAATAATAACCAGGTAACCTATAGCTGTGGTTTAAAAGATTAAAAAGCAATTAATTACCTTTGTGACTCTCAACTATTGAAAAATAGGGAAAAAATCACTTTGTGTTCTTGCTGCAGATTACTTAGGATTTATTTTTGTGATATGAATCTTTTCAGAGAAGATTTTTTTCTTAGCCTGAAATATATGTTTTCCTGGTAGAATGACAGCTTAAGACTAGAGAATTCCTCTGTGTTGTGTATCAGAATTTATTCCATTTTGTATTCCATTTTATTTGTATTCCATTTCAAAAGGGTTTGCTATTTCCATTAGAAACTTAGTACAGAGGTACCTCTATACTTTTTGCTGTCACTGTTTTACCAGCTTATTTGTGAAAATATTACATTGTTTTCAAGATAGAGAAGATCTCTCAGAACTTAAATAAAAGCTAACTTGACTTTTCCCCCATTTTACTTCCAAATTTTATCTTCACAGCATATGGTTCTTCAGTAAACTGAATTTTTAGAAGTAGTTAATTACAATATCATTTGCTTAAAAAAGGCTGAAATCTTTTGAATATACAAGATGCCCTTCTGATGTTTTTTTTATGACCAGCTCACGCTTTCCATTTTGATTAGAATGGTTTAGAGGTTTGTGGTGACTGAGCCCTGTGGAACCGCCAGGCCACGTGCACATTTCCATACTGCCCATGCCATGTGTCCATGGGATGTTGTCCTGAAGGAGGCAGAGAAAATGACCTTCTTTGCCAGCACTATATTCTCCCTTCTGGAGTGATCAAAGAGGACTTACTGCCTTGTTCAGCTTGAAAGTTGATGCACTCAGATTAACTTTCAAAAAGGTTTGATATTCTGTAATTAAAGTGTGACTTTTCCATCTCTTGATTTATTTTAGGTTTTGAATTTTAAACCAGTGAACAAAAAGTGCAATCCTGGCTAATCAATTGTAAACCTTGAAAATACTTGTCGCCTAGAAGTTAAATTACAGGTGATTTAATAGCAAAGCACTCAAGTTTCGTAGATGGAGTTTGAGACCTGTGTAGAGCTCAGACCCTCCGGCCTCTCTCCAGGGAATAACAAGGGAAAAAGGGATCTATCCATTCAGCTAAAGCTGACTTGAGTTCACACAGTGCAAAGGTCAGAAGGGTTGTATTCCAGGAGCTGGTACTAGCAAAAAAAAACCTGTGTGGTGTGTGGTGAGGAATTCCCATTTTCACCGTAGGATTCCCAGGAATTTTGTAGTCATTTCATCATAATGTTTCATTGATTTTGATTTATAAACTGTCATGATTTATAATGAGTTGGGGTTTTTTTCCTGAAATTTTCAACAGGAAAGAAAAAATATATCAAATTCCTTGATGTCTTTGATTTGAAGGAACGTCACAAGCTGTCAGGTTGGTTTGGCAACCAGTTTGACCCTTCCTGGTAAACCAGTGTTGCTTCATTATTAAGTGCTCTCCTACATCCCACATTACATTCATGGAATGTAATACATAATTTTTGATGCTGTAAATTTACTTGTCAGTAGTTGTATAGTGCATTTGGCTCTGGGGAGCCTGTTCTCTGAGTGAATAGCACTGGCAGACTGTGCCACTCGAGCAGTCCAGCCGTCTGTCCTGGTTGCCATTAACGCTCTGACGTGGGTTTTAAGGAGATGTCTTCAGAAAGGGGAAAGAGTGGCTTGTGACAGGAGCACTTAAAATGTGTTTGACAGGTCGAGCCCTTAGCTATGGCCTGAATTAGTAATGTTGTTTATTGTGACATGGTTATTGTAACTCTGGTACTCTATTCACTTGTGTATCATGTTGTGGGGGTTTTTTAAGTCTTTGTCCTCCATTTTGCTGTCTCTGAAGACAAGATTTTTTTTTCAATTGTATTTCCATTGAAGCGTAGCAAAATTAAGTTTTGTGTGAATGTTTGCCTCTGTATGGGTTTAGAAATTGCAGACTTCCACTAAAATTCTTACATCACGTTATGGAAGTTGCACAAACACGTGGGTAAAATGGGGAAACCTTGGTCATTCTTGGTGACTGATCTTTTGGTGCTTACTTTCCGCAGGGGTTATTAGGATTTGTCCTTCTGTGAGCAGTAAGATCTGTAGATGATGTTGCCCACCTGCTGACAGTTGTTTCCATCCTCAGGACTAATGGCAAAGGAGTGACCCAGCATGGCAGCTATGGTCCCACCAGTGAAGCTGAAATGGCTTGAGCATCTCAACAGCTCTTGGATCACCGAAGACAGTGAATCTATTGCCACAAGGGAGGGAGTGTCTGTCTTGTATGCCAAGTTAGTGAGCAATAAAGAAGTAGTGCCATTGCCCCAGCAGGTTCTGTGCCTCAAAGGACCTCAGTTACCAGATTTTGAGCGGGAATCTCTCTCTAGTGATGAACAGGACCACTACCTGGATGCCCTTCTTAGCAGCCAGCTGGCTCTGGCAAAGATGGTGTGCTCAGACTCTCCGTTTGCCGGAGCGCTGCGGAAGCGTCTCCTGGTGCTGCAGCGCGTCTTCTATGCACTTTCTAACAAATACCACGACAAGGGGAAGGTGAAGCAGCAGCAGCACTCCCCAGAGAGCAGCTCTGGCTCCACAGACGTGCACTCGGTCAGCGAGCGGCCCCGGTCGAGCACGGACGCGCTCATCGAGATGGGGGTCCGGACTGGGCTCAGCCTGCTCTTCGCCCTGCTCAGGCAGAGCTGGATGATGCCGGCGGCGGGGCCCGGCCTCAGCCTCTGCAACGACGTCATCCACACTGCCATCGAGGTGGTCAGCTCCCTGCCACCCTTGTCTCTAGCCAATGAAAGCAAGATTCCACCCATGGGTTTGGACTGTTTGTCACAAGTCACGACGTTTCTCAAAGGAGTCACAATCCCGAACTCTGGGGCGGATACGTTGGGTCGTAGATTAGCTTCGGAGCTGCTGCTTGGTCTGGCTGCCCAACGAGGTGCCTTGAGATACCTTCTGGAGTGGATAGAGATGGCTTTGGGTGCCTCAGCTGTGGTGAACACCATGGAGAAAAGCAAGCTGCTGCAAAGTCCAGAGGGGATGATCAGCTTTGACTGCTTCATGAGCATATTGACACAGATGCGACGGTCTCTGGTAGGCACAGACCAGCTTTGGCTTGTCTGCATCGCAGTGTGCTTGCATTCTTAACTAAATAGTTCCTCAAGACTGAAAGCCAGTTTGCTCAATGTGTTTAAAAAAAGGTTTTTTTTGTGAATTTTTCCCCTCAGTATTTCCTTTGTTGCCCATCAGCTCTTTTCCCCCCTTCCTGCCGACCCATTTCCTCATCTGGTAAAGATGGAACAGCAAAGCAGCCCCTGTGTTGTCACTTTAGTCATTGTGCTTTAACTTCAGGGAAAGAATCAAGGACATACTTGATCCACTTGCACTTGTACATTGAAATGCATAGCAAAGAAGTTACAAAGTATGGAACTGTTTTTCTGGCTTGAAATTCACAGTTTTACTGTACACCTTGTTTCCTGTTCAGTTCTTTTTATTGACCATTCCTGCTCCCCACTTCACTTGGACCTCTGCTTATACATCTTGGGGATGTTCAGCATTTTTGCTGCTGCTCAGAAATTAATTTGATAAGAAAATGAGCTAAATTGGAAGCGTGGCACACTGTTTTATGTCTTGAGTACTTCTGGTCCTAGATGAATGTTCATTCCAAAGCTATGAAATTGTGGCACAGTGTGCAATCAGAAACTGTGGCAAACTTCTGCCTCGTATGCTCAGACTGAAACAGAGAATGACTTTCCCTCAAGTTGGTCATTCTTTTCTCCTCAGGCTTGTGTTGCTCATTAATAAACATGATTTTTAAAATCCAAAAAAATGTTAAAGAATGGGGACCATGAGAAGAGCATGACAGTGGCAGTATCTGAATTGGATTGTATGTCCTGATGGGCAGCTTTGTTTGTGGTTGGTTTTAGGCTAGATATGAAATTAGAGTCCAAAAGATGGAAGATACATAAAGATAAAATGAATTATGATTAGTCATTTTTAAATAATTATCACTTTGAACACAAATAACATGCATTTCAGAACAAAACAGTATTAGGAGAAATTAACTCTGATCAGAGATATTTTCACAAAACGAATCAGTAAGAATGTTTAAGTAGCACTTCTGACATCTTTGTTTTCCTGAAGTGTGTGCAGATGTCACAGCTCAGGAAAAGGTGGTGTACTTATGCTTATAAAAAAGAGCCCAAATCCCTGATGTGTTTTGCACAGGTGCCCTGTTGCTGTCTGGGAGTATGTTTGTCACAATAACAGCATTTGAATGTTGTAGGGCTCGTCTGCTGACCGGAGTCAATGGAGGGAGCCAACCAGGACATCCGATGGCTTGTGCTCCCTGTATGAGGCAGCTCTGTGTTTATTTGAAGAGGTATGTCTTGGAAAAAAACATGTAAGGTAATGGTGTTTTCCTTCCCCTCACTCACGGGGTCAGTGTGAATGTGGGGTGCAGCCCACTCTTGGCTGAGTTACTCTGGAGTAGAAGAGGGGACAAAAACCTGTGGAAAACTAAGATGTAACGAAACAAAGTCACTTGGGCAAGCTCATGATGTGGTGATGGGGATTTGTATTTTAGGCAGAGGATCATATTGAGGGGGGGCAGTTAAATGTGCATTAAACATTGTGACTGTGGGGAAAGAAACATCAAGTGCTGCTTGTTTTCACAGGTGTGTCGAATGGCTTCAGACTATTCCAGGACATGTGCCAGCCCTGACAGCATCCAAACTGGGGATGCTCCCATTGTGTCTGAGACCTGTGAGGTGTATGTTTGGGGCAGTAACAGCAGTCATCAGCTGGTGGAAGGCACTCAGGAGAAAATACTTCAACCCAAGCTCGCTCCAAGTTTTTCTGATGCACAGACAGTAAGTGACATTTCTGGTGGTACATTATGTGACATTCAGCAGCTTCACAGCTACAGTGTGAAACTGAGAAATGGGGCTTTATTTCTGAGTGTCAACTTGTAATGAAGGTCTGATGCTCAGAACTGATCACACAAGTTATTGGACTGAAAGTATCTCACTGCTTTTATTGATACCTGGAGGAAACATTTCGTTTTGTGTTTACTGACACACACAGATAAATATCCATGTAACAAGAACGACTGAATTACCTAACTCGGTCGGCAGAGACGAGTTTGTTTGCCTGGAGGGTTTTTGTGGTGGTGTTTCTTTGGTTTTGGTTTGGATTTTTTTACTGTTGCTTAAAAGGTGTCTTAACTATTCGATCTTCTTTTCTTTTGGTGGTTTTCACACCAAGGTTGCCCAGTTTAAAAGTCCAGACTGGGCTAACTGCTGACACAGCAACCTTAATTAGCTCTCTGAAAATGAGTGTTCATGGTCTTCTGCTCCCAGTCACAGATTCTGCCATTGCAACTGAGCACTTTTGTTGATGCATGGCACAGGATATAATAGTTTGCTTTTCTGTTACTACATTGGCTTTGCAGTGTTGACTCAAGTAAAAGCACTTTTTGGTCACTAGACAATTCAGGTGCCTTTTCTGCAGTTGTTTCTATTGACGTCACTGATATATTTGATGTGCCAGTGGACTGCAGGGCTGGGCATCATAAAGAAGTTTATGCATTCAGAAAACTTCCCAAACACTCATACACGAGAGTGGAATGTGAATGAGTGGGTTACTCTTTTATTAATACAGTATACACCTCTCTAACATATTTATGTGATTTTTTTTTTTCCACTGAGATAAAGATTTTTTTCTTTAGCTTTCTAGCTAAAACAACCGATAATTGTTAATTAATCAAACAATTGATAATTGTTTTAGGGTTGTCTGGATGTTAATTCCCAGTAAATAGGGCTGTGACTGTGCAGTCTGACACCTGTGTGGGGCTGTTTTATATGTGCCTTTATGCTTCAGATTTGAACCTGCTTGGCACTTACAGATTCTTGTAGCAAATTTTTGCTGGGTTAGTTGATTTGCTGTTGGGTCATTCGTCAGCTGAGCTCTGACCTTCCAATAGAGGCAAGTTCTTATTCTCTTAGAAACTTTTAGTCTTATTTCTTTGATGTTTATGTCGTTAAGACGAATAGTGTCAAATGAGAATGGAGTTTTAGCATTTGGCTTATTTCTGTAATGTTATCACTTGGTACTGGTTAAAATTAAGCCAGGCCTACAGTGCTGTATCAAGCTGTTACTTTTTGGTTTTGCTCTTGACAAATTCAGATTTCCCTCTGTGACTTCTGGAAATCTGAATGCAACCCAATGTTTTTACATTATGTTGTGTGGAAAGGTCGTATAAAGAAACCTCACATACTGTTAAAAAAATACAAGCTTCTAGACCTGTATGTGAATTTTGCATTTATCTGATCTCTGTGTTTCACTGTTTTAACCTTTTCTTTGTAGATTGAAGCTGGACAATATTGTACCTTCGTCATTTCTACGGATGGTTCTGTCAGAGCCTGTGGGAAAGGCAGTTATGGGAGACTTGGACTGGGTGACTCCAATAATCAGTCCACACTGAAAAAACTGACTTTTGAGCCTCATAGGTCTATTAAAAAGGTGTCATCTTCAAAAGGATCCGATGGCCACACTTTAGCATTTACAACAGAAGGGGAAGTCTTCAGCTGGGGTGATGGTGACTATGGAAAACTGGGACATGGAAATAGTTCAACTCAGAAATATCCCAAACTTATTCAGGGGCCCCTGCAAGGAAAGGTATGTTTGGTACAGTAGAACACCTATTTTTGTTCTGTTCAGTTGTGATGTTGTGTAAAATATGAAATATATAAAATCTTAAGAAGTTGTGTGTTTTTCTAGACCTCTCTTTGTAAGCTGGGTCTGCTTTCAGCAAAACACTAGAACTTGTGGTTGCCTCCAGCTTGTGATGTGGACAATGGCATTGTCAGGAAACCTTCTCATAGTCTTAAGAGTAAAACGTTCCAGGAAGGAGAGAGTTGCTTTTGGTACTGCAACATCAGGACTTTGACTTACAACTCCTTAGTGGCTTCATTTGGAAAGTGGTTCTGTGTTGTCTTACAAGGCCTTCTTCTCCCTGTCTATCTGTGTTTTGACCAGTGTTTTAAACATCCACTGATGCTTCTTTTTACTCCTGTAAGACCAGGATATCATCATGTTAAAGCTGCCTGATAAATAAATCATTAGCAGTTTTATGTAGAAACTTGCCTTTTTATGTATTTATTTCTACTAACCAAATAAGGAATAGGAAAGATTGCAGAGGTTCACTTGTGTGTGGATTTGATCCACATGAATGAACAAGTTAATTTGCATAGACTGCTTCTGAAGCTTGACTCTCAGAAGCTTTCAGACTTCCTGTTTGGTTTGTGTAAAAAGTGAATCTTTCTTTCTGCCTGTGCTGCAGGTGGTTGTCTGTGTGTCAGCGGGATACAGGCACAGCGCTGCTGTCACAGAGGATGGGGAGCTCTATACCTGGGGAGAGGGAGACTTTGGGAGACTGGGTAAGTTTAACATTTCAGGGGATGCTTTTGGAAGAATGCCTGTGTCTGGTAATGATTCTGTACATTTATTTGCCTCGTTCTCTAACTGTCCACTCTAAATACACATACACACATAATGCAGGTGTGTGCATATAGGTGACTAGTGCAGACTCTTAAAAGCTTTTAATGCAGTTAATTTTACAAAGAATTTGTTAAAAATATTTTTAATTTCAGGAGAGGTTACTTTTATTCCTAAGTCTACATATGATTGCTAATGCTACTGAAATGTAAACAGTAGACATTTTAAATAAACTGGAATTCTAGTGTGGTGGGAGGATAGTTCTTTGAACAGTCAGGAATACCTGGCTAATAGTATCAAGGGTCTCATTTTAATAACCAGCACACTTTACATTGTTTGCCAGATTGGCTTAATGTCCTTTTACCTTAATGCATCTTAAAAATGCAATTTAACTGAAACAAAAAGCCAGTGTTACTGTTTGCTGCAAGTTGCTGTGTCTGTCTGGTCACCTTTGCTGTACAGCTGCTGTGCCTGGTGGGAAACACCTTCTCCAGCAGGTTCAGTTGAACCAGCAGGTTTTGCATAGAGAATTGCTTCAAGTTGGGCAAGTTGCTTCAAGTTTAGTTCCTTTCTGTTGTCTTTGCTCTGAATGTGACCATCTCCAAGTATAGAGGGGTGAGAGCAAGTAAACGACGGGGCAGAAGACGAGGACAGTGTTTTACAGCTTAAATTGTCACAGTTTTCCAAGGTAATCAGTGGAGGTGCTGAGCCTCTCCCTGCTGAGAGAAAAGAACACTGGGTTAGAGGTTTAGCTTACAACTTTGGTGGGAAATGTGGAAATATTCTCCTTGAGAATATTTCTCCTTGACGTGGAGTTTTGATGTGCTTTGGGGGTCTTGGAGTGTGCAGTGGTGAGTTCCAGTGCGCAGCTAAAAGGTGACATTTAGTACGTTGTTCATATTTAATCAGTTTTGGATGGACTGTTCTTTTCCCCCTCTTCTCCATTTTTCTTCCATATCTGCAGAATTTCTGCAGTTTCTTAGAGATGAAACATTTTCTGGAACAGGAGATACTGTAATGTCTGGTTTCTGCAGAAAGGCCCAGTTGGGGCTGTGACTGTCCCCAGCCAGCTGTGGTGCTGCTGTGATTTGGCTGTGCAGTAGTGACAGTAGTGACAGTGTGCCCTTATTGCAGCTTCCCCTTGCTGCTCAGGAGACCTGCTGCCCACTGTTAGGATGTATAGCTGCCTAGTCAACTGCTATTAAAGGCACTTGTACTAGTAATTCTTTATTTTTTTTTTCAGCGAGCTAGAAAATGGCCCTAGGATTCAGTGGCACCTTTACCACAGGTGGCTTCCAAACCTGTCTCTGAATCTTTCCACAAAGTGGGCAGAAATTGTCATTTGTGATGAGCACAGAACACATGGGATTTGCAGAATCTTTATGATTGCAAAAGATAAATAGAACTTAAAGGTTCACAAAAGGAAAACACGTGTTGCTTTTTTTCCATAGGTCACGGTGACAGCAACAGCCGCAACATTCCAACTCTGGTAAAAGATATCAGCAATGTGGGAGAGGTCTCCTGTGGCAGTTCACACACCATAGCTCTGTCCAAAGATGGGAGAACCGTGTGGTCATTTGGAGGAGGAGACAATGGTAGGTAGAAGTACCATTTTGGTGGTAATTTTGTGTTATTCCGTCTACCTCAGAGTTTCAGTGCTCCTTGCACTTTGGGTCTGGTTTTTGTTTGGTAGCTGTACAAGAAAAGGATTCTTATAACATCTAAATACAATATTTGAAGTTTGACTGCAAGATTATGGAGTTTAAAAAGGATTATGGGAGGGGAGGGGAGGAGTTTCCCAGAGCAGAAAGCTCAGTGAATGCATGAACAATTCAAATGAAAATGCTGTGCTGATAACTTTGAAATAAATTCCCTGGTGATATGACAGTAGCTATTCACATCCTAGAAACTGTTGCATTTTAACTGCCTGGGATTAATATTTCAATTTTAAAATACACTGTCACGAATATATATTTCCTTGAGACTGTAATTGAAAGAGAATAGGTTTTGTAAAAATTGTAACAGGTTTTAATTTTAAAAATTCACTCTGACGTTTTTGGTTATCCACAAAGAATTCTTTGTGGGGTACTTCTAATTGTTATTTATCCATGGAAAATACCTTGCAGTTGTGTTTCCTCCTTTTGTAGGCAAACTTGGTCATGGTGATACAAACAGGGTATATAAACCTAAAGTTATAGAAGCCTTGCAAGGAATGTTTATTCGAAAAGTTTGTGCTGGGAGCCAGTCTTCACTTGCCTTGACATCAACGGGGCAGGTAGGCAAAAATCAGTCTTCACTCCAAATATGAGAGTTGGTGGAGATGCTGTGGGTTCACATTACTTCAGCTTTTATTGTTTTGACTGTTGAGAAAATGTTCAACTAGTACTTAAATAACAGTGAAGTTCTTGGTTAGAGATTGAGGTTTCTACTGTGCTGGAGTAATTCAAAATGTACTGGAGAGTCATGTGAAAATACACTTTTTCAAGATCCTTGCTTAGCCAGAGAAAATGTGTTATTTTTAGGTTAATAAAAATAACCAGTGTAAAAATCAAATTGGATCCAGGACACAAAAAGCAGCGAAATCCTTGTAATTCTTAATGCATGAACCAACTCAGGTGATCAGGTGACTTAATAGGGTTTTTTTTTAAAATGTATGTGTATTTTAGAATACAGGTGTTACCGACAGTTTTATTTCTGATCTGAAAAAGCTGGGGAGGTGTCGGAGGTGAACGTTGGGGTGGTTGTGTTGCTTTGCTCCAGGTGTACGCGTGGGGCTGCGGGGCCTGCCTGGGCTGCGGCTCCTCGGAGGCCACTGCTCTCAGACCCAAACTCATCGAGGAGCTGGCTGCCACGAGGATCGTGGACATTTCCATTGGGGACAGTCACTGCTTGGCACTTTCTCATGGTAAGAACAACAAGGTGTAAAAATACATCGTCCTCCTCTCGATCCAAAGCGGTTGTATCTCAGGTTTGGTTTTCTACTCTGTTTGCACTTATAGATAATGAAGTTTATGCTTGGGGTAACAATTCAATGGGACAGTGTGGTCAGGGAAACTCCACTGGTCCCATCACCAAACCGAAGAAAGTAAGTGGTTTAGATGGAGTTGCAATCCAACAAATCTCAGCAGGAACATCCCACAGCCTTGCCTGGACAGCTCTTCCAAGGGACAGGTAACGATGACACTGGGGACATTTGCTTTTTATACAAGTCCACTTTGGGATACATTTAACTACTCCCTGAAGGTGTTAACCACACTTTCAAGTATTCTGCTTGTAATGTTTTGGGCTGGAGAGTCTTCCCTCCTCTCCTCTTCCTTCTCCTCCAGTTGTTGCATATTGCAAGTGAAAATATATCAGCACCAAGGATTTGGGTATTAGTTCTTTGTGTATAAAGATTTCTTACCTGCTGTTAGACCTCTGTTTACTAAAATTTTGAGAAGTTAGGCAGTGGGAGGTGAAACAACTCAGTATTTATTTTTGCTTCTGAAGGGACTTCTTATGGCTTAGGAAGTTTCCTGTAGTGTAACAAGGAGTGCACTAAGCAGGAGACTTTGGGAAAGGGGAATTTCAGACAAATTGCTGAGGTGGATTTAAACATCTTAAAAAAAATTCTGTATGGTTACCTGTTAACCTAAACTGAAACCAGGTGCCTAAATAAATAGTTTGGTTATTAATGTACAATAAGTGAAATAATACTTTGTTACACCAAAGACATGAGCAAGTGATTGAAGTGAACCAGTATAGTTTTACATATAAACTGTTTAACAGAAAGGGATAGAAAAGCTTAATATTTGGAAGATAATTCAAGAAGAATTCCAAGTGCCCTGTTTTCACAGGAGCTATCAATTCAGAAAATAGTGAGACTTAAATAGTGCTGAGTGGCACTACTGCTTCTGAGCTCTCCCTGCATTGTGTCAAGGTCTCTATAATCTGACATTTGTACTAAAACCACCTTTGTGAGTACTGGGCAGCCTTTGCACGAGTCAGATTAAATACATATGGCTTCATATTTATAGCATTGTAGGTGTTCCTGTTCTTTAGAATGTTTTTTTGTAAAGAGTTTTACCGCGAAGAGAGCAGAAAATACCCCCGAGGGTCAGGAAGTTAGTCTGCCATAGTCATATTGGTTTGTTCTAAGGAAGAAACTGGTTAAGTGTGTGTTGAACCTGCTTGAGCTGTTAATTCATTAAAGCAGTTGGAGTATTTCCAGAGGGTGATCTCCTTTGGTTGTGATTGCAGGCAGGTTGTGGCGTGGCACAGACCCTACTGTGTAGACCTGGAAGAAAGTACCTTCTCGCATCTCCGCTCTTTCCTCGAGCACTACTGTGACAAAATCAACAGTGAAATCCCCCCTCTTCCTTTTCCTTCCTCAAGGTACACACAGCATGTGCTTGTTACAGATTTTTAGAATTATTTTGTTTTTCCTTACAGCAGTGGTGCTTGGCTTAGTCTTGGTTAGTGTGTTCTTTAACAAGCATAACTCTGGTTTCCTTGCTCCTTCAGGAGCTCTGCAGTGCCCCAAACGTAGCAGGATCTTTTGCCTGGAGTTTATTTTCATTATGCACTGAATTAAATGCTTTATTTCAGAGTTTCTCCTTTGAAACACATTTTTCTATGTAGTTGAAATGCATTTACTGTTTCTGCTTTGTTAGTTCTTACTCCTTTAACAGTTTTTCAGAAGTTTTTTACAAAGACTAGAAATTAATACCCTGACCTTTTGTTTTTAACCCAATTTTTGTGCTCCTGAATCTTCTGAGAGAAGATTACGTTTATTACTTCTTAAAAGTTATTTTTCTTCTCTATGAATAATACATTTGCCTCTTTGTGTATTTTTGGATGATTTTGCCTCCTGATTCATGGGACTGCATTTCTAAAGTGGGTGCCTCTTGGAACCATTGTCCACAAAGACACTTCTCCATTCTAGTTTTGGTTTTTGTTCTTTTAAGCACATTGGCAGAAGGTTCTCAGAGGAGGTTCTTCCAACTCCCAGCTGTAATTTACTTTTCTGGTACAAAACATCAAAGGCGAGTTGAAAGCTTAGTGCACAAATAAGTGAAAAGGGAGCAGGAGAGATTAACAGGGATGTATTTCTTTTTGCAGGGAACACCACAATTTTCTTAAATTGTGTCTGAAGCTGCTTTCTAATCACCTTGCACTTGCACTGGCTGGGGGTGTAGCCACCAGCATTCTGGGCCGCCAGGCTGGGCCTCTCCGAAATCTCTTGTTTAGACTGATGGACTCTTCTGTCCCTGATGAAATTCAGGAAGTAAGTCATGCTCTGTTGTTTGCCTGTGAAAATTGTGCTACTCTCTCTTCTTTCTTTGTGCAATTAGAGATATATCTGACTTTCAGCAGTTGGCACTGTGATAAACATGAGTCTGACTTAGCAGTTTTACTCGTGACAGGTAAAACCTGCAGTCACCGTCACTGTTTTATGATGTGAAAGCAGAGGAGAATGTTTGCAGAAGAATGTCAGAAAGCTGCTTTATTTTGTAACTTTTAAATTAGTCTTCCTTGCAATAATGAGCCTAAAATGTTAGTGTTGTGGATTGAGTAATTAACTCAGTTGAGTAATTCTCCTAAGATGTACTCTTACAGGAAACAGCAGCTTTTGTTGCTCTCATTTCACTTCTTCAGTGTACTGCATGTCTTTGCATCACATGAGAAATTAGTGTGCTATTGTGAGATAGAACTCTGATGTTAAATGAAATTAAGCAAGATGTTTTGGATATATCATGGGTGATGTGCTGTGTTTTTTAAAGATACAAGTGAGTTGATTATCTCCCCCTTCCTTACTGAAGAAGTATTTTCTGCTGCTCTAATTTTAGGTTGTAATTGAGACTCTGTCAGTAGGAGCAACTATGCTGCTTCCTCCACTGCGAGAGAGAATGGAATTGCTCCATTCCCTTCTCCCCCAAGGTCCTGATAGATGGGAGAGCTTATCAAAAGGACAGGTAAGGTCAGGTAAAAATATACCATGCTTTGAAAGCAGCTGTGGTTTGCTTTGGCTTTTTCTGCTGGAACATTGTGAACTGAGGTGAGCCTTGTTTTCAGAGTGCCAGCACATTCCTGGTGAGGTGCAGTGCAAAGCCCAGCATAACAAAACCTGGAGGTAGCCTGGCTAAACCAGAGTCCAGTGAGACAGGGAGCACTGCATGTTGGCTGCTTAGGAATTGCTGTGTCAGCATATCCAGACAAGTATAAAGAGCAGATATTTTTTAATTTGGATTTAATTATTTAGATTTAACATGTCTTGGAAACAGAAAATTATTTCCTGTGAAGAATACTTGTATAATGCTTTTGCTACATGGATTTCACCCTCCTTTGCAAAGATGACTGCAGTGTTCCTTTTGTCTTTTTCCTTCTTGAATGCAAAAAACAGGAATTAATGCAGGTTAGGATGGTTGCCCAGTATCCTACAAAAGGAGGGAAAAAGATTCAAGGAACATCTGTTCCTGTCCTTGAGAGCAGTAGGAACTGAAACTTCAGCAGTAGTCTCAGACTAAAAGAATGAGCAAAAGTACTGTTCAGTTCTGTGCACACAGGATCCTGGTCAAGTCCTGTATTTTATACACTAAGGAAGAGACTGGCTTACACTTGATACTGAAACTATGAAGCAGAATCTTCTGATTCTGATTTTCTAAAGATTTGTGAAGATGAGTATTGGTACGAACTAAACCCCCTGACAATTACTAGGGCAGAACAAGTTTAGGTTTTCCAGCAGCAGTGGGGAGCAGCACTGAAGGTGAAGGTCATTACTCTTCATCTGCCACCTCTCTTGGTCTCATGTGTGCTTGTTCTGCTTTTTACCCTTTTTCCAGTGTGCAGCCTAGAAAAATGGTGTGTCCCCCACCAACTCCCCAAATAATCAGATAAGTCCAACAAACTGCAGAAAGCATTTAGTCCAGTGTCTGATATCTTCCTCTTAATCTCAGATTTTACTAGGTATGGTCATCTAATTGATATATTTATCTGTTCTCTAATACTACAAATCTGCAGGAAAACCTGGAGGTTTTTGGAAAAGTCCTCCAGCTTATTTCTCTGTCCCGTTACAATATTTTCATTGTAACTACGTCTAATCCGTTTTCCTTCATAACTCCTTATTTATTCTGTCCTCATTAACAAAGAGTGTTTTTTGTGCCTTTAAACATTTTTCTTTAGAGAATGCAGTTGGACATAATTCTGACAAGCTTGCAGGATCACACCCACGTGGCTTCCCTGCTTGGCTACAGCTCACCCTCAGATACCACCGAAACCTCCTCGCTGTGTATCAACTATGGAAACCTCTCTGATCAAACATATGCTGTGCAGAGCAGCCACCCTGACACTCACCTGGCTGAAATCTTAATGAAGACTCTGCTGAGAAATTTGGGATTTTATACAGTATGTATAGGCCTTGTAATTAATTGATTTATTTTTAAAATTGTAATGAATTTTGGATACGTAGAAGGGTTAATTTTTTTTTTCTCCATCTCAAGAAAATGGTGCTCTTTTTCTTTTATCTAAAGTAGCAGTGCAGTATGTATTTGTCCTGAAGTGGACTAAAATCAGTTAAATCATCTCTAACAATATGGTTTTTGTGTTATTATAGTGGTATTTATTGTTTAAGATGACTTGTGTAACTGCAGCTGCTTTCATATCAGACTGTTTTATTGCTCTTGCTTTGGCTTCGAAGTTTTTGGCAGATAGAATGTAACACAAGAAGTGCATGGAATGTTTTTAGTCAGTATAATCTCAGCCACCAGGGAACAATAGGCAGACACCAGGAGCATGAATCTGTCTAATTAACTTCACTAGGGTTATTACCTTATGCTTATTACCTGACTGAACATCTTATGCGTCAGCCCCCAACAGATCCTAAAAATTATTACTTATTTTAACATACTGTGATTTGGGGGCCAGGTTAGGGAGTGGGTTTTTTCACCCAGTTAGCCTTGGGGAGTTGAATAAAAACATTGCTGCCTCTGAAAGAAACCTTTTCAGAAGAGAAGTGTTCACTTGACAGCCATCAAAATCACTACTATGACTTTCTAAACAAGTGTAATTTTAGCTGTGGCTATCCCATGATCCACTGGCACATAGTAAAGATAATAAAAGTTTCTTTTTAAGATGATTGTCAGGTTTCATGGCATTTGAAACACAGTTAATTGTTCTTTTTCTCCCCCTCCTTTTTGTCTTAATAGGACCAAGCCTTTGGAGAACTGGAAAAAAACAGTGATAAATTTTTACTAGGTACATCATCATCAGAAAACAGCCAACCTGCTCATCTTCATGAGCTTTTATGTTCACTGCAGAAACAGCTGCTGGCTTATTGCCACATCAACAGTGTCAGTGAGGTGTGTGTCCTTATTTTTATCATTTAGGAGAGAAAAAACTAATTCAGCATTCATAAGCATCAGAATGTTGTAAGGTTCCTCTTGTAAATCTGAGTATTTGAGAGCTAAACTAATTTAAATAACCCTTTAAATATATTTACAGAATTATTCTTTTGTTGGTTTGTTTCCTTCTAGAATTCCAGCAGTGTGGCTCTGCTCCACAAACACCTCCAGCTTTTGTTGCCTCATGCCACAGATATCTATTCCCGTTCTGCAACACTGCTGAAGGAAAGCTCTTGGAATGGTAGTGTTGGGGAAAAACTGAGAGGTAAATCTTCATGGCAAAATCAGTATTGATGGCTCTGTAAGCTTAGATTTGAATAACAAAATACCTTGTTTTTCCTGTATCTGCATAAAGTGGACATCCCCAGCCTCCCCCCAAAGGGGAGATTAGGTGTCCACCCAGGGATGGTATCTGGCTCATGTTTTTGATACAACATTTGACATACAGGGAAAATACAGAATGGAGAAGACATTGAAACAATAATGCACAGAGGCAGTTTTGTTAATTCTAGATTTCTCTTTTAAAAAGTGCTGGTTTTGTGATCACTGCAAAGTGTGTTAGTAAAATACGAAATAGATTAGTAATTGTTAAACCCATCAATTCAACATGTGCCGTGGAGACATTTTGAGAAAGCTGAGGTATTTTATGCAATTCTTTGCCTTGCTAAATGGCCTTGTTGTGCTTGGAATATAACTGTATAACTGTAATTCAGCTTTGCTTTCCCCCCTGCAGATGTGATTTATGTCTCAGCTGCTGGCAGTATGCTCTCCCAGATTGTCAACTCCCTGCTGCTGCTGCCAGTGTCGGTGGCCCGGCCCTTGCTGAGTTACCTGCTGGATCTGCTGCCACCTCTAGATCGTCTCAACAGGCTGTTGCCTGCTGCAGCCCTTCTGGAAGATCAAGAATTACAGTGGCCTCTTCATGGTGAGTGTAATAACATGCTTTTCATCTGAAAAGTAAAGAATGGCACCTTTTTGTAGTGGAAGTTTAACTTTCCCTTTTAAGATGGCTTTTTTTTTTTTTAAGCTGTGTATCTTGCTACATCTCCTTTTCCGTTTCCTAAATGTATTAATGGCCCTTGCTGTGAAATACTTTTTCTGCTTTACTTGAGTGCAGTTTCCAGTTGTTTCCTGTATCTGTACATGTTTATCAGAACACAAAGAAGTGTGTGTTGGACAAAATACTCTTGGGCAGAGTTTGAAGGAGCCTTTCCTTTGTGAGCAGCTGTGCCAGGAATGGTGATGGCCTGTGCTGCTGCTGCAGTTACCATGTTAAGTGGCCTCTTAACTTAACAGCCTCTTACCTGCTGTTCCTTCAGTCGATTGAGGGGAAAATCTGCCACTAACAGGGAAATATGAACAAGATCTGTTAATTTTGCTGATTTTGGAATTGTGACTGATTTGAGAACGAATCCCTTCAGGTGGCCCTGAGCTGATCGACCCTGCCGGAGTGCCCCTGCCCCAGCCTGCCCAGTCCTGGGTGTGGCTCGTTGACCTGGAGAGGACGGTGGCCTTGCTCATTGGGAGGTGCCTTGGGGGGATGCTCCAGGGCCCTCCCGTGTCCCCTGAGGAACAGGACACAGCCTACTGGCTCAAAACTCCACTTTTCAGCGATGGGGTGGAAATGGATATTCCTCATTTAGGTAACTGTGAAATGCCAGCGTCTCCTGGTCGTTGTAAATACCTGTGATCTGTTTGGAAATTTCTGGGGATGTTTTGAATGGGTCTGTGCACTCAGGGGTTGTCTTCCAGCATCGGTGTGTGTTTGTGGAGTAATGCAAAAAGTTGCAAAATGGATGTTTAAGTGTATGATGTAGTTTACAAAGGGTCTTGGAAATGCACAGGGAAGAAAAAATCTGCAATTTCTCTGAAAGAACACAGTCTTCACTGAGTTAATTTTAAGTGTGTAACTCTTAGATGCTCAGCAGCGTTTAACAGGCACACCAGAGGCTCAGTTTTTCATATTAATTATTGGAAAATATTATCTTACATTCTACTTGCAAAGTGAATTTTTTATTAATTAACAACAATACTATTAATAACAAACTTCAGTCTTGATGATCTACCAGAATTGGTAACAACTCAGCATTAATATTCTAGTCATCCCTTCCTATCTGAACAGTGCCCTTGCTTCTGCTTCTTTGTGGCCTCTTCCTTATTCACATCTCTGTTCCCATCCTCTCTGGTTCTGAGTAGACTTCAAGACTTATTTACAAAACACAGTAACTGCAAGCTGTGCAGTTCAGGTGGACTTAGTGATACAGATTTATGCTCTTGAAGCGGAGTTGGAGAATGTTTCTAAATCTCCATAGGTTTTATGTAAATTGTAACTCTTAAGTCACTTCCCTGTCTAATGTAAATTTGTTGTAGGACAATGAGATGTCTTGATTTTTTTATTTTTTTTTAGCTAAGTGTAGAGTGCTTTTAGGTAGATGTATATAATCCTCAACATTTGCAGAGTTTAATTTCTTGGGTATTTCCCTTCTGTCAGACAAATGCATGAGCTCCTTGTTAGAAGTGGCCCTGTCTGGAAACGAGGAGCAGAAGCCCTTTGACTATAAGCTGAGACCTGAGATTACAGTCTATGTTGATTTGGCCTTGGGTTGTACAAAAGAGCCAGCCAGGAGCCTCTGGATCAGTATGCAAGACTATGCTGTTAGTAAAGGTAAGGTGTTGAAAATGTATGTGTGTTAAAAGCATATTACATATATTGCATGCCTCAACTACACTCCTAGGACAGTCCTGGATTTTTGTTGGCAACAAGTTTTAATTCTGCAAAAGGAAAAATAATTTATTGTTATGTTCCACAATCTCTCTTCTGCTGTTTCTCTTTCTTTTGAAGTTGATTTCAGTGTTTGGCAAACATGTAGTTCAGTGTTGTTTTTCCCCCTGACCTGGTAAGAAGAAACTCTTGTTTGCTTACTCAGTTGTTGGTTTTTCTGTTTTCCGAGTAGAGCAGGGTAAAACTGACAATTAAAAAGGAAAATTAATGGGGAGGAGATGGGGAAAGGCAAAGTAACTTGCAAAATATGTTGGGAATGGAATGAAGTCACCCTTTGTTTGTCAAGTCTCTGGGAGGCTGGCCTTACAGTGTTAATAGTTCCTCATGCTTATAACCTAAAATCTGGGTTTTCCTGCTCAAGCTTTCCAGGTTGCTTTTAATGACCTCCACTAAATATTGTTGTTGTACTGTAACTCTGCAGTATCCAGAGATAATTTTCTGTAGCTCTGGCCAGGCTGAGCGGGATGAAGAAAACAGCAAGTGGCCTTGTGTGCCTGTTGAGAGCAACACAGAGGGTTCTTTTAGAGAATTCCACAGGAGTAGGAATTCCAGTTAAAAAACCTGCTGGTTATCAGTTTACAAAATCTGAGAGGAGTGGGCTGATATGTGTAATTTTGGCTATGGAGCTGGGCTCTTTAGAAGTTGATGTGGTTCTGCTCTTCACAGTGCAAGCTGACTGAGGAGCAGGTATGTTAGATAAGCTGTGTGTGGCCAGGTGAGCTTTTGTCATTTCTACAGCAGTTTGCAAGGATTCATAGATAACATTTAATAGAAAAAGATATTTAGATTAAAAGATACTGTTAAGGGAGTGGGACAGTATTTCTCCCCCCCTGTGGAAAATGATGGTGCTTTGTGGAGGTTTGCTTGGCAGTTTGGCTATTTTGTAGTCGAGTAAAAAGAACCATTATGAAAATAAGATTGAAATGGGGAAAAGTTCTTTTGAAATTAGGGGGTCAGTTCCTGAAAATACTGGTTGAACCTTCATTTCAAAACCTGAAAATGTCTCTTGGTAATATTAGCAGTGAAGCTTATGCTTTTAAGCTTGAGCAGTTGGCCTTCCTGCTGGAGATAAGGCTTTTCCATCATAAGCAAAACTGTGAAATGATGCTGGAATGTGGTTTCAAACATGTGTAAAAGAGCAACAAGTCTCAACTACTGTGTGTTTCTAAACAAGATCCATGTGAATTTGTGCCCAGAAGAGAACAGCTCCAGTTTGCTATTGTTACTTGAAAGACAGGTTGCACCCTAGTTTCTGCTCCCTGGCTCTCTGGTGGCAGTGTGTGTGCACACCCTGGCTCTCTGGTGGCAGTGTGTGCACACCCTGGCTCTCTGGTGGCAGTGTGTGTGCACACCCTGGCTCTCTGGTGGCTCTCTGGTGTGCACACCCTGGCTCTCTGGTGGCAGTGTGTGTGCACACCCTGGCTCTCTGGTGGCTCTCTGGTGTGCACACCCTTGGCCATCAGACTGAAGGACCTTGAGCAGCCAAACCCACAGTGGTCTGAAGTGACGTGTGTGTATGAGTGAGTGATGGTGAACATTTCTTAAGCATTGAAGCTACTGCTAAATTGAAGGATTTAAAGGGGTGAAGATTTTTTTTATGATGTCACTGAAAATACTTTTGTTTGTTGGGAACAGCCAGTTCTGATGAATCCTTTCTCTTTTCAGATTGGGATACTGCAACTTTAAGTAATGAATCACTCCTAGACACCGTGTCCAGATTTGTTCTTGCAGCTCTTCTGAAGCACACGAGTTTACTTAGTCAAGCTTGTGGTGAGAGCAGGCAAGTAATTTAAAGCTGCTTTTAAAAGTTCAGTTGAATTCTTGAAAGGCAGTTTGTGTGATTTTTTTTTTTTTTTTTTTTTTTTCTGGCTTGGGTCTCTTTTTTGGCAGGTACCAGCCTGGCAAGGCCCTGGCAGAAGTTTACCGCTGCGTGTACAAGGTTCGGAGCCGTTTGCTTGCCTGCAAGAACATGGAACTCATTCAGACCAGATCATCCTCAAGAGACAGATGGGTAAGGCTGGAAATCTCCTTTCAATTCTTCAGGCTCTACTGGGTATTCAGAAAATATGACAAAATGTTGGTTTCGTGTCTGTTGCTGGTGTTTTCGTTGTGTCTTGTTGAAATCTTTCAGGAGTTTTCAAATGAAAATGGGCAGAGTATAACGAGGAGCCTGTTTGTAGTACATGTGATGCTGAATCAGTTGGAGCCAAGGGTTGATTGGCAGCATTTGGCTGGAGCACAGCCTTAGGCCTGGCTTTCCCTGTGACTGTGGCTCTGGTGTGCTGGGCCATAAAGGCCTAGAGCTTAGATGGAGATGGCTTAGCTGTGTTGGACAGGCCACAGCTTAGTCTGGCTGCCATGCCTGAATCCAGCTGAGTTTTCTGGGCCTCTGAGCTCTGTACGTCTCTCTTCCCCTTCCCTCCTTACTCACCTCTTCTTCCTTCCTCCCTGCTTGGATTATGTCCTAACATTGCTTTACTGTGTCCTGTCCTTGTCAGCCCTACGTGATTGTCTGCCAGCACGGTGGCAGCCTCGGAATCATTTCATTAAGCCAGGTCAGATTTGATGATGGAAATGGTCATGGAATTACTCCGGGTTGGGGCCTGTTGGGCATTACAAAGTACTCCTTAAAGCAGGATTCAGGTTTCTGTGATAGGATTTTTAAGCAAGATATTTTTAACCAACAAAATTCTAATGTGACATGAGGATTAAGAGGCTTTTTGGCTATGTTATAAAGCACTAGTGATGCTCTTTAAAACCATGTGCTTATGTTGCCTACTTAATTAATATTGGGGATATGTGTCTTGGCCACTTGCTTTCTCAGGTTAGGGGTCTGACATGTCTGCAAGACATTCAGCACCTCTGGAAGCATTGGGTGTGTTCAGTAAGTTCTCCCAGAAGTCCTCACAGTTACTGTGCAGATGCAGCACAGCAAATCTGATGCACGTAGTACATTTGTTGTTTCAGATTTAATAGTATTGGGAAAAAGTGTCTGTTTTGCATTTGCATGGCAAACACAGGCTTGAGGACAGAATGAGGAGGGCAAATAAGCCAGAGAAATGGTGACCATGATGTGCTGCTATCAAGACCACCAGGTTTTTTCTGCAGATAAATTATGTTGGTGGGATGCTTTTCCTCCAAGTTTTGTAGGATTAATTATCTTCTAAAGTATTCCAAAACCTCTATTGTAACTGCATGTTTTCAAGCTTTGCTTTCTTGGGACTGTTTAAAACTGCTTCCTGCATTGGAAAATTATCTGTTGGGTAATATGTATTTTGCTGGTCAGCACTTCTATCCTCAGATTAAGGGAAAGCATCAACTCAACTATATCCACTCAATCAGAAAAAAATTTAAATTCAAGTTCTAAGACCATTAAGCTTCCTGTGCACCTCATATGCTAATCTTTGGGATGTAAATCTGGTAATTTCATGGAAATAAAAGGGAGGAAAAGAACTGCAAATGCAGAGCTGTTAAGAAGAAAAATGAGAACATATTTACTATCACTTTAAGGAACAATCTTATCCATCAAATAAGTTTTATCGTATTCATGTTCTTTTTAAGGGAATAATTTTTATGATTCAACAGGATGACTTTCCAGAGGCTTTGATGCTGAAGTGTCAGAGTTTGACAGTAGACTCTTTAGTAAGCATTCCAAGGAGGCATTTTTATGTAAATAATCTGAGTAATGGTTACTAAAGGAAAATTAAATTTCCCAGCTGACGTAGAGCCTTGAATGTAAATGGCTGATATCTTTCATTTCACAGAGCATCTTTGTAATTTCACAAAATTATCTTTTTGATAGGAAAAACCCCTCACTCAATACCTGTGTCCTTCTACATTCATCTTTCATTTCAGTGAGAATTTTTCACTTTATGATTTGTGTTTTTTTTTCATCCAGATGCTGGATAACCAAGAATCTGCTGATGTTGATACTCAAGAACATTCTTTTACTCGTACAATTGATGAAGAAGCAGAAATGGAGGAGCAGGCAGAACGTGACAGAGAGGAAGGACACCCGGAACAAGAAGATGAAGAGGAGGAAAGAGAACATGAAGTTATGACAGCTGGTAGTAAGTACTAGTTCTGTGTGTCAATAATGTCCTTTGGAAGGACAGTGTCCTTTTCTCTTTGAGGTAAAATTGAGCAATTAGTTAAAAAATTGTGAAAGATTTGTCTGCATAAGCATCGTGAGAAGTTTATTTTTATAAAATGGTGTAGGGCTTTTATTGATTCAGGGAAGTCTTCAGATGCAAGGGAATGGGAATACTGGGCAAGTATTGCCTTTGTGGGCAATTCCCAGGGCATCTGCCATATCCTGACACTTCTTACATGCACTGTCTACAAGACTAATGGCTTTCATATTGTTTCCTCTGAAGTTCTTGCCAACAGATCTCTGAGTTTTCATCAGTATTTATATACAGAATTTTTGCTGTGTTTGTATGTGTTGTTATTTTTTGTAGTAAACTTTGAAGGATAGGGTTATTCTGAAGTTTGGAAACAAAACTGCTGTTGATAATGGGGCTGACTGAGTGGGAATTCACTTCTGTCTGAGTATCTCAGAGTTTGGTATTTGTAACACTATTTGCAATACTTTGTCATGGGTTTTCTAAAAATGTTGTTTAACTCTTTAGAAGATAGCTTGGAAAAGGTAAACCTTGCAAACTGTTACTGTACTGATTTGGATTTGTAATCTGGCTCAATGGGATAGTTAATCCTTAATTTTTCCAATTTCAGTGAAGCACATTCAGTCACACTGGGCTGGTTTTCTCTGTTATTAACTCAGCATTCCCAAGGACAGCAGTTGTGTTGGCCTGGGAAGTTTTCTGTGGAGAGTATGTAGCTTAAAAAGCAAAATTGGCTGACAGTTCCCTGTTAGGACTCCCATATTTCTCTTTGGGAGCTCACAGACCAAAATGTATTTTATACCTTTAGTTTTCTGTGGTGTGTCATTGCATGGGCAGTGCAGTGGCCTTCCCTGAAGGTGTGCTGTGGAGCTGAAAGCACATTCAGGAGATGCTTTATGGTTCCAGAAGGTGTACTCGTGTTACCAGTTCAGTAGATGCAATATGTTTTTGCTGCTTGATATGCAGTTAACCTGGGCAAACGCTCAGGGTTCTCAAATTCCACCTGGACAGGGTTTCTGGGCACAATAAAGGAAATGTGTCCAGAAATATCCAGTCAGTAGTGTTACATGCACAAATAAGTAGGAAGATGATGATTATTTCACTGGACTTCCAAGGAATCTGATCCTGCCATGCAGAGTTCAGTTGGTGTCCTTGATACCTTGCTGCTTCTAACTGTTGATACCAATGAAGGAAGCATTTAGGTTTACCTCTGCCTTTCCAAAAGGGAATGGAATCTTTAAAAATAAAATTATTAAATCAAGAGAACTTAAGGTCTTTGGACAGAGATGAGGAGATCTCTCACACAGCTTCTTTAGAGGAATCTGGCACCTCAGACAACAGCAGAATTCAGTAAAGTGAAGGCTAAGAATTTTAATAAGATCTTCATTGTACTGCACAAAGCTAATAAAAGCCTGGAACTGTTTCAGTATTGACTTGAAGATACACTGGAGTCTGAAATACAGATTTACAGAAGCATTACTTTTATAGGTCTGCTAAAAGGCAAACATGAAATAATCTCTCTCTCTTTGATGCCATCCAAACAGGAGTTGGGTTGCAGTAAGACACTGAAAGAGTGTTTGGTGTTCTGTCAAAGCGCATTGTCCTCTTCATTTTAAAATTAACATTGTGTAAATGCTTCATTTGACCTGTTTGCATTACTTCTTTGATGACATTGTATTATTAATGTGTTCTTTTACTGTTGGAAAAATATTGGTTGTTCTTTGTAGCGGGGCAGTTTTTGGCCCGAGATGTAGATGAATATTTTATTCTCTGTAGCTTTGTCTAGAAGTTAAGACCTTCTTTTTGTGTTGCATGTTACAGAAATATTTCAATGTTTCCTATCAGCCCGTGAAGTAGCTCGCAGTCGGGATCGGGATAGGATGAGCACTGGGACAGGGACTAGACTTGATGATCCACCCCCTCAGTCTCAGCAGGAAAGGAGGATCAGCACAGATCTGACAGAAGGCCAGGATGTGTACACTGCTGCCTGCAACTCGGTGATCCACAGGTGTGCCCTGTTGATCCTGGGGGTGAGCCCCGTCCTGGAGGAGCTGCAGAAGCGCCGGGAGGACGGGCACTCCCAGCAGCCGCCTTCGGCCACCCCCGAGGGCATCGGGCTCATGACAAGGTGGGCTCTGCTCCTTGTGTGTCTCTGCTCCCTTCATCGCTGATTGAACAACCTCAGCTTTCCCCTGAGGATTCTTACAGTTGTTTTAGAAGAAACCTTTTGCTTAGAGCAGTGTTATGCTCAATTTTTACTCAATTTTCTTTGTCCACGTTAACTAAAACTTAAGAGTTTTATTGTGTGTGCACCCTATTTAAGTTTCAAAGCTGGGCTTAGTGGTGAATAGTTCAGACCATCAGGTGGTCTGAACATCATGAGATACTTGGAAAACCTATTTCTTTTTCCTATAATTTGCATTTGGATTTTTTTATTGCTGTATTTGTGTTTCCTTGACCCTTACCAATGTCCTATGTAGTAGTGTCAAAAAAAATTGTAGTGTATGTTTAAAACAAAAGTTTCAAAGCCTGTTATGATAAAAGTGTTGTTCATGTTTGATTTTTATAAGTATTCCTAACATTGACGTTGGTAAGACACTATTATTAGGTATAGGAGAGAAAGAAATTAAGCCAGGCAGCTCATTGAATGGGAAGAAGTGCTTAATTTAAATAGTATAAGTACTACACCATCTATTTTAAATTTTGTAACCAGAGATATTCTTGGTAACACAGTTTTATTCTAAACTTGACTCACTGAAACTTTTTTTCTGGCAATCTTTATGTTTAAAGTAGAATATAGCACAGGAATTGTGTAGGTGATGCTACTAGTCTGAATCTTCTTATGCTTCTAGTGTACAGAACCTCTATTTGGTATTTTAAATTAAGGTATTGATGTGGAGTATAGGAGAGGATTATATATATTCAGTACCCTTTTATTCTTTTTGCCTCTTTTTGGAGATCTAGTCCCTAAAGCATGGGTGGCTGCCTCTCTCATTGTCAAAGTGCCTTTCATCTCCAGCATATCAACTGTAGGATGCATTTTATGGGTGGGTTTTGAATAAGTTCAGTGCTTTGTCACCCACTTACTCTGTGTTTGTTTTCCTGTGCTCTCAGCTCAGAGTGTTTGTTACTCTGTGTAATACTCACCAAGGCACTAGAGATCCCTCACTGGGGTTACCCTCTGTTCAGTTGACCAGTCAGGCTGTGAAGAAGTAACAAAGTTTACTAATACCCTTTAGAAGCATAACCAAAGCCATCAGGCCACTTTTTGCCTCTTTAATGTGGTCTTGTGATGTTCTGTGATAGTTTGCTCCCAGACAAAACTGTGGTTACCTCCTAAACTTGACTATCAACTCTCACTTTTGTCTGATATCAGTGTTTTCTTTCTGTGTGCACATAAATGTGTGTGCCCCTGGAGCAGGAGTGAAAGTCTGACAGCAGAGAGTCGCTCAGTCCACACCAGCTCCAGCTACAGACTGATTAAGTCAAGGAGTGAGTCCGATTTGTCTCAGCCAGAATCCGATGAGGAAGGTTATTCACTGGTGAGTAAACCAGCATTTCCTTGTAGGTGGAAAACACACCTGAAACATTTGGTTAGTGCTGTGTTTCAGTAGGTCAGTTCAGCATTCTGAAGAGAAAGTACTAGAGGTAAAAAAAACAATTGAAATTATTATAGCTCTGCTAACTTCCTCGCTTTTATGGGGGAGGGATGAAAGTTAAATACTCAAATATTATGTACCACGTATGTTCACCTAAAGAAATGAGGCTTTTGTTCATCTTTTAATGTAGAGTGGAAGACGAAATGTTGATTTGGATTTGGCAGCATCACACAGAAAGAGGGGTAAGTTTTCTTGTTTACCTCGTGAATATTGACCAGATAAATGTTGGTGTTTGTGAAGTTAAAGTGTGTTTGCAGTTACATACAGCTGACAGTTACATAGCAAATCCTAAAACTGAGTATTTAAAAATAACATGTAAAAGAATTGTTACCTACTGTTTGTTTGCTTTGTGACTTGGTTTTAGTATTTCCTAGGTTATAGCTCTTTATTTTAGTTTCTAGCATTGTGACCTTTTGAAGCAAGTGAGGATTTCTGTGAAGTTAAGTGAATTAGGAGCGTTCATTTTGTTTTCACTCATGTGACTTCAGGAATAAAAAACTGGCAGAGAAGTTCTTGTACTAACTTGTACTAACAATGAACTTTTATCATGAAATGTACTTGAACGAGGAGAGCTTGTATTTAGAAAATACCACCTTAATTTGCATCCTTTCAACACCAGCATATCTGCAGAACCAAGCAACCACCGGTTTTATTGCTCCAGTATAAATCAGATTTTTAACTTTTGTACTGTGTTGCTGCTTCACACTGGGGAATCTCAATGAGCTTCTTGATAGAAGGTGTGGAGGGAACAAAGGGTGTTGGTTTACAAGGAGACCAAAAGTCCCACTTCAGTCTGGGTGATGCAGAATCTCTGTGAGAATCACAACTTAGGTCTGTTGTACCTGTAAAAATCATGGGAAGATGTAAACAGGAATTAGATTGAGTTATGTTATACCTTAATAACAGAAACCTCAATACCCTTAGGTCGTGTAAGAATTCTAGCAGAGCACTCAGAGGTTGCTTGCTTTTTGAAGTCTTCTGGAACTGTAAAACAGGCTATCAGTGGCACACCCGTTGGATTTCAGTATTTAAGTAATGTGGAAAGGAGTTCCTTTGCTTGCAATTGAAACAGTTGAACAAGTAAAGAAATGTTGTAGAGCTGTTTGTACTGTGACAGCAGGATGTGTCATGGCATTTTCAGTGTCAGGAGATCTGTCAGAAGGCCTCTCTCAGTCTCTGAAACCAACATTTTTAGCTTTGCTGTTAGTCGGACACAGAACTCTGCACTTGATTTCCTGTGTCCTAAAACTAATTCATTTTGGATTATGGTTCCTGAGCTGTTGGTTAGGCTGATGTTGCTTTGGTCACAAGCCTCAGGAAATGGGCAATAATGGAAGAGGAGACTTTATTAAAACTTTATTACAGCAGAAGATTCTGCACTGGGTTTGTACCACTGAGGAGAGATAGGGGGGAATGCAGTTGATCTGTCCAGAACCTAAAGAAGCTCAAGTAGCTCATGTACAAACTGAACACTGTGACAACATGTAACTCTTTCTGGTACTGGGAGACTTATTTGCTCTCCCATGATACTTAGATTTTTTTTTTGTCTGGTTTTGGCAACTGGGGTTGGTCAGCATACAGTAATGAAAGCTGGTCTGCTTATGCTGGATGATATATAGGACAGTTTGGGTTGGTACCCAGGGAATCCAGGGTTCATTTAAGTTCCTCATAGGTCTGTTAAGGTCAGGAAAAGATCTACAAACAGCTGTGTGAGAAGTGGATGAGCTGTTCTCAGGGCTGTTTAAGGTCTGTCATCTCTTCTGATGTGTTTGGTTTTGTGAATCCCCTGGAGCTGAAGCATCTCCCAGTGTTTGGTGAGGGTGCACCTTCCAGCCAGTTTGGATTGTCCCCCTGCCCCTTGTCACATCTCCAGCACACTGAGGTGCCAGGGATGGTGCAGTGCCAGTCATGGATGTTGGAGTGGTGAAACCCCTTCAGTTATATCTGTTGTTGGGATGTGCTGTGGCTGATAAGGGGGCTGTTTGTGCTCACTGTTGCCTCAGTTTGAGGAGCAGGAGAAATCTGAATTCTCACAGCACATTCACATTCAGCTGTGCTCCATCCCCCAGAAGGAATTAAAGACTTCATCTGCATTTGAATTTGCTACATTTGTTCAAAATTGAAGTGATGAAAAATCCCAGTTTCCTGTTTATGGCAAGTAAACCACTGTGGAAGAAATGACCCACAGAAGACTCCAGCATTGTTTCTCACGATGTTCTCCAAGTGGATTTTTAAGTGCCACCAAAGTCAGATCCTCCTGAAGCAACCAATAGGTATTTTTGTGAGAAACAGGCAGCATATTTTTATTTTTAGTTTGGTTTTTTTTGACATGTTCTTTCCGTATTTATGATTGTACCTTGTACTCCTACTTCTGATCTGCTTTTGAGTGGAGGATGTGGAAGATTTTGTGTCCCTCTAAGTGACAAGGAGAGGAAGGAAACTTGTCATATAGATGCTGAAGTATGTGTCTATTTTGAGTGCAGAGAATAGTCATGCATTACAACAGAAGTGTATGTGGGAAACACTTCTCAAATTGCAGTTAACTTAAATCCTACAAAACAGCAGCAGTAACCAGTGTTGCTTTAAGGGACTTGTAGCTGAACTCTTCAAATTTTTGTTGGATTGAATGTAGAGTTGGCAGTGTTTGGGGGGAAAGAACGAGTAGAGTCCTACAGAAAACCCAAAGGAACCACTTCTCATTTCTTTCTGCTGAAGTTTATAATTTAAAATATTTGATCACATTTCCTTTTACATGTGGTTTTTAAAATAATTCTTTACTCAAGTTTGCAGCAGCCCTTGAAGGTGTTTGTTCTCTTCAGTGTCTGCGTAAGCTGAAGGAAGCTGACAAGCAGAGCCAATTGGAAAGCAAGTTTTTTTTCCTTCTATCACTACTGCTTTTTTCCTGCAGGCTGTGCTATTTTGAAGACTTCAAAGAGAATTTTGACTAAAAACATTTCTTTCATACTGAAATGCAACCACATTAAATGTTGCAGAACTGCGGCCACACACGTTTCCAGCTGAGGTTTTGTAGGGCTGGTTTCTCCTCAGCTATATTCCATGCAGACTGCTTGATCCTTGCAGATTTGTCAAAATTACAGGGTATTGGTGAGTGGTTGGTTTGTTACAGGCAGGAGAGTAATTCCCCCTGGAGTGGGTTGGCTTATTTTAGAACTTCTGTTTGTTGAATGCAGCAGCTCATTGTTCACAATTCAGGTCACATTTCCTTGCTAATTGAATCTCACTCTTGGTTATAACCTGATTTTTATGGTGTGAAAGCTGTTCCCTTTCATAAATTACAGTATTGGCAGTACAAAGACTGCTAATCCTGTGAGTTCCTATGGTCTTGCAGACGAGTATGGAAGGAAAAGCATTCTCTTTTTATTCAATTAACGTCTCAGCCACTCAGTCCAATCTTTGTTTAAATTGCCTTCTTCATTCTTTTTGTCTTCAGAAATAGGTCTGGGGTATTCCTACTTCAGCCTGAGGATCCTTTGAGTTTCTTGTTCCTTGGCATTTAGTTATTTCTGAATTAGTAGACTTTTTCTGTAGTTATGGAAGGAAGTCTTTTCCAGTGATTTTGCAGTAAGGGGTGAAGACATTGTTTTCCCTTTGCATATAAACCTTTTTATTTTTTGTTGCTCAGATTAATCTCTTTCACTTTTGCAGACCCAGGGGTGTTTTTGTCACCCAGAAGTGATACCTGTTGTGTACAGTACCTGTGGGAGGCTGTGCACAGCTTTAGGGAGTTATCAGTAAGGGCTGGTGAAATCATGATTCCAGACACATCCATGGGACTCCTCCACTCGGGGGTTTTCATCACATACATCTAAATTCAGTGAATTCCACTGTGCTTGTGTTACTGTTCTGTGCCACTGACACAGTGTTACTCCAAAAAAAGCAGCAACTGCAATGAAATCCAACTTAGATTGAAATGATGTAGTGTTCCTGCAGTAATGAGTTCTGAGCTGGGAAAAGGGCAGCTGGAGCTTGAGTAAGGGATTTAGACACGTCTTGGTGGATGATACAAGGGATGTTCATGGGATTAGTTTTGTTTCCTTGACAAGAAGGTGGAGAATGCAGAAAGTTTGTTATCTAGGCAATACTAATTCAAACCAAGAGTAAGTATTTTTTTCCACATACTTTGCTGCTTGACATATTATTGTATTGATTGAGACTGATCATTTAAGTCTAAGAATAATATGAGGACGAGGTTTTATGAGTATGTTACCTTCTGTTTCAAATGTCTGCTTTTGTCTTCTGATTCTTGTGTGGTGTAGTGTATTTACTCCTTTTTGGCCAGTTGAGCCCCAGAAAAAAGAAGAGCTTCAAGCAAGTAACTGATGGCATGTTTATTTTTTGTCTCTCTAGCTTCCCTACATATTTTTTGTTTTCTGGAGTGTGCATTGCAGCTGTGCCACATTCATGTAGAAAACTCATTATTACAAGCTGGCTTATAAGGACAAGTAAACTTTTTTTATTTTCACTGTAAGCTTAAAGTTTCTGCCTCTGCACAGCTCTGGTCATGTGATTGTAGAGGCTTTGGAAGTGCTGCACTGCAATCAATTCTGTGTGATGAATATTGCACAGAATCAAGCTAAGCTCCAATATACAGCCATACATTTGATTTTTCTATTGATATTTGACATATTCAAGAGAAAAAAATTACTTTGTTTTAGATCTGCGTGCTCTGATTCCTAAGTGGTTTTACTTCTGAAGTATGCCCTTAAATTTCTGATATCTTTGTGTTTAAACTCTACACTTTCAATTATAACTTCTGTTGTCTTACATTTAACCTGTATCTCATAATTGTTGGACTTTGTCCAAATTCGAAGCAATTTTAAATTAGTCTTACATTTAAACATTCTTGCATTTCATACTAAAATGGCTAGCTAAGATCTAATCCTACTTCAAATATGAAATAATTTAGGTTTTTATTAATACATGGCGGGGGTTCTTTCTTATAAGATTCGTTGACTATCAAAACTAAATTTTCTTCTGGTGTTCTCCTTGAAAGGTCTCCTTTAGCTTATGATTTAAGACACTGGAATTGCTTTTTGTCTCTTTACAAATGCTTTGGCTCTGTGCTGTGCTTCCTAGCAGGGCAGGTGGAGGGGAGGAAGCTGAAGGCACTTTGGGCTCTCCTGCCCCTCAAAGGCTGCAGGGCCTGAGGGGGCTTTTTGTTGTTGCTGTGTTGGCAACATTTTGTGGACGTGGCAGTGATTTAGCTGTGCTTCCTGTGGGTAACCTGAGGCTTTGTTCCTCCTCTCCCTTGGGCTCTGATCACCATTCATATGCCAGGAAACTGCTTCCTACGTGAAACTAAGTATTTTAGCCCCCATTTATTCTACTCTTTGTCATTTATCTTATGTTTCTCACCTGTTGCTTCCCCATATAACTTAGATTTTAAAGGAGAGCTTTAAAACAACTACTCTAATAATTAATGTTAAAATTAGGGTAAGGTGGTATCTGTCTTTGCTGTTGTTTTAAATACTGTTGCCAGATATAAATTGTAAAATCGAGTAACAGAATTTCTGTAAATTTTTTTCATAGTAAACTTGACAAAATAGGTTGTTCTCTGTAAACCAGGTGGTGTTGCTGTGTTACATAAAGCAGCAGAGATTAGGAAATTAGATTGCACTTTGAAAAGTAGTGTTTAAGCTTAATCTTTGCATTATCCCAAATAAATTTGAGGCTGTATATTTTTGTCAAATACGTTGTATGACCTAAGTACTGTGATGGTTCTTTCTGAAGCCATTGCAATTGTTTAGTAGCAGGTGTAAGGGATACCTTGCAAATGCACATAAACACTGTTTACAGAAAAGGAAATGGAATGTCAACTGTTTTTCCTAATTCATAGCCCTGACAATTAAATTTTTGGCAACTAAGTGGGGATTTGCTGCCTAGTTTACAAAAGAGAAGCAAAATTTCACAGTATTTTGAATTTGTAAGTTGTGTAGAGATGCAAATTGTGAGCTGCAGGTGCAGCCTTGTTGGCAGAATAACAGCATATTGCCTTTACTTCAGGAAAGAAATGACATCAGTGGTTGCCAGGAGAGTTATCCTGAGTTCCAGCCTGTGTGTCTGTCTTTCCTTGTCCCTCTGAGCAGCTGCTGCAGGTAGACAGGAGGTCCAGAAATGAGGATCCAGCTGTTGCCATTGGAACTCAGCCTTACTGAGGAAAGAAAGTGTTGAACAGATGGATTGCTGTGAATTTGTGTGACTTCTTCCTGAAAATGGCTCTTTTAATAATGTTTGAGGCTGATACCCTGCAGAAAGATTTTTAAAACCCAAAGTAATACAGATTTGTACGAGCCCTTTGAATGGGTTGTGATTCTCCAAATTTTATCTGCAACTCATTGTGCTTAAGATAGAGTAATAGATTAATATTTAAAAATTATTCATAGATTATTTAAGATAATCCGAGCTAAAATTTCAAAGTGACTTTAAACACAGATTAGGTTACCACAAAGGTCTCCTTACACTTCTATCTTTACAGAGGGAAAGTTCTTCTGAGCAGGGTCTGCCCTCTTGGAACACCTTGCACAGGTCCAAGTTGGCCAAGAGCATTTACAAAAATAAAATACTACCTGCAGTCCATGGGTTGCCTGCTAATGAACTTATGGCCTGAGTGACATGGCCCTCATTGGTGCCAGGGTGTGGGTTCAGCAAAACTCTTTTGGAAATGAGGTCCAGACAGTGCTGCAGACTGATGGCTGGTGCTCATGTGGAGGCCATTTGTTAGTGATGATGGTAAAGTTTCAGTGTAAGGACAGAGGAAACCCTGGAAAATAGACTTGTGAAATGGCCAGCTGACAAATATACAGATCTAATACTTGCTGGAGATAGTATTTAATATACATGTATCTCTCTTGAGTCAAAGTAAATGTTCTGTTAGTCTGAAATACTTTCTCTTCCATCTGCAGTCATGATTTCTGTAAATATTTCATCCAAAATAACATTGCTTTTTCCAAACCATGAAATACAGTGGCTTGATTAAAACCAAAACTACTCTTGCTCTATATAATAAATGTCCAAGTGCATAATTTCTGTTTTAGCAAATCTTTTCTTTACTATTTTGTCATTTAGCTGCAGAGCATTTTATTCAGTGTTCTAGCTTTAAGCTGAGCAGTTTGAGTGGCTTCTGCCTTTTTGTTTTCTCACTTGGCACCATGTTGCAATACTGCTTAACATAGAAAAGAAATACAGCCTTTTCTTTAGGGAAATTGCTGTAAATTTAAATCAAGTGTTTTGCTCTAAGTTGCTTTAATGCATGGTATAATTAACATGAATATTCATTTTCCACCTGTATGAATAGCAGCAGTTCAGTCTTTACCTACTGCCAGAATGTGTTACCCGGTGAGTGGGAATTGAGAGACTTCCCTGTGTGTGTCTTTAGGAGCAATTCACAGCCAGGTGGAATCTCTGAGTGACTCCTGGGTCCGACTGAAGCACAGCAGGGACTGGTTGTACACGTCCTCCTACTCGTTCGTGGAGTCCGACTTCGATCTCTCGCGATCCCTCGGAGTTCATACTTTGATTGAAAATGTTGTCAGCTTTGTGAGTGGAGACGTGGGGAACTCCCCAGGATTTAAGGAGCCAGAGGAGAGTATGTCCACCAGCCCACAGGCATCAATCATTGCAATGGAGCAGCAGCAGCTGAGGGCTGAGGTAGATCTCAGTTTAACAACTCTTCTTGTTCTTTAGACATTATACTTGTTTTAGGGATTTTTTTTTTTTCTTGAAACATTGTCCAAATTCCAACTATTAATTACATTTTTCTTTCTTTTCTGTTAAGTATCTTCACTGGAACTGGGAACTTTTTGTAAATAAACTCTAAAACAAAACTAAAAGTATTACCCTTTTAAAAAGAATTGTGTCAAGGAGAAAGCAGCTGCCTCGTTCATCCTTGCTTAGAGTTGGAGATGATCCAATTTCAGTTTCTAGGGATATTGGCTACTTAATAAATATTGCCTTTTGCCTGCCTTTATTTTTTAGCTTCGTCTGGAAGCCCTTCATCAGATTTTGGTGCTTCTGTCAGGGATGGAGGAAAAAGGCAGTGTGCCACTGATGGGGAGCCGTCAAGTCCCAGGATTTCAGTCTTCTTCATTGCTTACTTCTGTTAGACTCCAGTTCCTTGCTGGCTGCTTTGGTTTGGGCACTGTGGGACATGCAGGTGCCAAAGGAGAGAGTGTAAGGTTGCATCACTACCAGGTGTGTACTTCAGGAATTTCTGCTGTTTCAATAACTGAGTGATAAAAATGCATCGGTCCTTATAATATTTATTTGTTTGGCCCAGGATGGTATCAGAGCAGCCAAGAGAAGTATTCAAATTGAAATCCAGGTGGCTGTGCACAAAATCTACCAGCAGTTATCTGCTACTTTAGAAAGAGCCCTGCAAGCTAATAAGCATCACATAGGTAAGTGAAACCAAATTTGCAAAATATGTCCTCTGCTATACAGTACAACAGCTTGTGCATTTACCAAAGCAGCCTTTGGTATTAGTGACCAGGATTCACTGAATTATCTGACTTCTTTTCGTGAGAGGGAAACTTTTTAACCTTCTTCTCTCTTCATTTTCCTCAAGTGTTACTTAGGCCTTCTTGTTTTAAGTCTTCTCAGCCTTTCTGTTCCACATACCACAATCTTCCACGGTCACCTGTGACTTTGGGGCTTCAAAGTGATTTTTAGGTTTCTCAGGGATAAGAAAGCAATTTTTTGGAAGAGATGAGAAATCTCCAGTCTCTTCCTTTGTTGAAGTGAACTTTCTTTAAACCCAAACCTGAGGGTCAGGGCACCTTGCCTCTTTGGAAAGCCCTTTGTCCTGTCCTATATCCAGATATTGCCATGTGCTTCAGGGATAGCTGAACTCTGCACCTCTTTGTGCCTTTGTACATGCACTGACCAATAGCTTCAGCACTGCAGAGAGCTCTGGAATTTGAATTTGTTGGTGGAACCCAATGGGCATTCTTACCTGAATTGTTTTGCTGTTTCACTTACAATTAAAATGGAACTGAAAGAAATTTCTTGAGAATCCATGTGAAGTACACATAGAAAATGAAATGTTTCACCCAGTTATCCTTCTCTAGAGGGAAGTATCTGGTTTGAGATTTAGCCTCAGAACATTTACATCACAAACTAGATCTGCATGATATTCTTCCTGGGGCAGCCTTGACACAGAGTTACACTGAGTTAAAGGGGACTACAGTGGTACATCAGAAAGACTCCCTCAAAGTATCTGACAAAGACTCGCTCTTTCCTTGATAATTTAATTCATTAAATTGTATTTAAAAAATAATTTACTGTTCTTCTGTCTGAGGGTTCTTACTCTAAGCAGCTAATTAATTAGAAACAACTCTTTTAACCCCAGAAGCACAGCAGCGCCTTCTCTTGGTGACGGTCTTTGCTCTCAGCGTGCACTACCAGCCCGTTGACGTGTCCCTGGCCATTTCCACTGGGCTGCTGAACGTGCTGTCCCAGCTGTGTGGCACAGACACCATGCTGGGACAGCCTCTGCAGCTGCTGCCCAAAACTGGCATCTCTCAGCTCAGCACAGCTCTGAAAGTAGCCAGCACAAGGCTCCTGCAGATCCTCGCCATCACCACGGGGTGAGTGTCAGATGGTCCCTTGCTTTTGGAAAACTTAATTGTTAAGCTCTTCAGCACCCTTTAAAAATAACCTTTCTTTAGCTCAATAAATGTTACTCTGGGGTATGTGAGTGAAGGGCAGAACAAAAAGAGTAGTCACATTATTCATAGGAAAGATGCACATAAGACTTATAAGTATATTTAAATAGTGAGTGTTTGGACCAGAATAGTTACAACTCTGTGGTCTGTGAACACTGTATTTCAGTAGTCCCCATTTTGCTAGTTCAGCTTTGTGTGTAGATCTGCTCAGCTGATGTGATAAGACTTTCTGTTGGTGTGTAAAGGCAGTACCAATAACGTGGTAGGAGTTCTTCAGAGCAGTGCACTGTGCTGCTTTTCAGAATATGAAATAATTTGCTGAGGAACAGGGGCCTCTGCTAGACCATGGAACAGAATGCAAAGTCCTATCAATACTTAAATATTTAGTTTAACTCAGTACACACCAGTGGAGAAAGAATTTTCTATTTGGGGCAAGACTATTATTTGATATTCTGTACATGCATCTTCGTGTCAGTGTTCAAAGAACACATTACATTTACCTGCCAAATGCTTTACATCAAAAACTCCAGTAACCCTAAACCAAAAAAATATCCCAAACTGTGGAAACAACACCTCATCCTTGGAAGTTGCAGTGGAATTATGATTAATTAACAAAGTCGTTCTTTTTCCTCTAGGAAGTACTGCAAATGTATCCTTTGACTCCAAAGCTTAGACAGTTTTAGTTTAATTAGATATTAGTTTTAATGTGTTTTAAAAGGGTTGAAAAAAGTAATAATCCAAACCTATGGTGGAGGGTGGGGAAAAGTAACCTGCTGCAATTATTGTTCCTTGGATCAGCTCTCAAATACTCTTCTTTTTACTTTTTTGTGTGTCTGTACAGAACCTATGCTGATAAACTGAGCCCAAAGGTGGTCCAGTCTTTGCTGGATTTGTTGTGCAGCCAGCTGAAGAACTTGTTATCTCAAGCTGGTGTGATGCTTATGGCTTCCTTTGGAGAAGGGGAAGGGGAGGAAGATGAAGTGGAATCAAAAAAAGCAGATTCAAATGGGGATAATGAGAAGAGAGACTTCAGAGGTAAATATTTTGCATAATTTCTGTTACAGTTCTAAAATACCAGAAAGCATAATAGAAGAAGCCACTGAATGCTCATCAAGTCCTCATCAGCTCTACTGTGTTTTGATTTTTGTTGGGTCATTTTTAACTCTGTAAATTAGATTCGAGTCATCAAATAATTTAGTACTCTGCTCAGATTTATAAAGAATTGATGCATAAAGTGATGTAAGGATGCTAGCAGGCTGAGAATAAGAATTACTCCATCTGGTTTGGAATTAGGAAGAGAGTATAGTTTCCCTTGAACAATGATTTGGTGGTAGTGTTTTCCATATATGTGGTCATAGGAATTTATCTGGATTTCAAACTGCAAATAAGTGTAGCTTTATTCAGGAAATTGTTGTATTTAAGCAGTTTTGCAGTTTGAGTGAATGGCAAGAGGGTGACACTACTCTGTGATATGAAAAAATCTGCAGGAAAAGATTTTCTGAAATATTAAGATCTTCACATTGTTGGCAGTCCTTGATGAATACTGATTTTCTGTGGAAATTATGGGTTTGAAGAATTATCAATTGTAGCTTGGTTTTAGGTGTACATATGTTTTTGTTTGTGCTTATAATGGTCTTCACTTGTTAATTCATCAGCCATCGCATTATTTATAAGACAATTAATCACAAAATAGGATATGAGGTCTTTCCAGAGACATTTTCATGTTAGAACTTCCTTGGAATACCCATCAGTGTGGGAAGAAGTTCAGTGTTTTGCATCAAAACCACTTTGCCTGACTGCCCTACTGGGTGGGGAAGCAGGAGAACTGGGAGTGATGTTCAGCCTTATGAGAAGGGGTGGTTGCATGGAAGATGTTTTAATTTTGTCCTCCTCTACTTTTCATTGGCAGTAAATTAAATTATTCTTCCCCAAAGTGAGTCTAATTTGCCCATGAGGGTAAAAAAAAGGCTGTCTTGCTCCTTTGCCTTGAGGCATGAACTTTTAGTCTTATTTTCTGTCACTGTCTTGCTGAGGAGCAGAAGTGAGAGCACAGCTTGGTGGGCACCTGTCAGCCAGCCAAGGTTCACAGCCAGCCACCATGGAATAACTGAGCATTGCATTTTTACCTACAGAACGGTAACGGGACTGCCAGTCGAGTTGTAATATTAAGATGTAATGAAAATTTTTCATTTCCCTTCCCAGCTGCCCTGCGAAAGCAACACGCAGCAGAACTGCACCTGGGAGACTTCCTTGTTTTCCTGCGTAGAGTTGTGTCTTCAAAAGCAATTCAGTCCAAAATGGCATCTCCAAAGTGGACAGAAGTACTCCTGAACATTGCTTCTCAGAAATGTTGCTCAGGTATGACCTGGTCCAAACGTGCTCAGTGGTTGCTTGCATTTCCGTGGGGCAGTTCCAGCAATGGAGCCCTGTTAGAACATGGTACACAGTGAACAGTCAGAACTAACTGGAGTAGATGTGCACAGGAGTTACACTTTGGGGCACTGGTGGGGTGTAGCCAGGTGCAGGCCTGATGCAGAGGACTCTTCCAGATTATTGACCTGTTGTTCCATCTTCAGGAGTTCCCTTGGTTGGCAACCTGAGGACCAGACTGCTGGCGCTGCACGTGCTGGAAGCTGTGTTACCTGCGTGTGAATCTGGCGTTGAAGATGATCAGATGGCTCAGGTCTTTATATTTTGTTATAAACCTTTACACCTCTTTCTTCTAAAAGTCTCATTAAACTTATGAATGTTTCCTAAGTTTGTTCAAAATCCAGTCTAGTGAGGCTCAGTGTAGATTTCTGTTAATCCAAGAGCACTAAATATTTTGACGTTTGTACCTGTGAAATAAAGTGAAACAATATATTGCTCCTTGTCCTCATCTGGGAGTTAAAATGATCTGAATTCTATTCCAATACACCAGGTTGTTGAGAGATTGTTCTCACTTCTGTCTGACTGCATGTGGGAGACTCCAATAGCTCAGGCCAAACATGCCATCCAAATCAAGGAGAAAGAGCAGGAAATGAAGCTGCAGGTAACGATGCTTGTACTTTGTCTCGTGACTGAATGCTCCCGAATCACACTGACCACAAGTGTTTTGTCCTGTTCCTGGTAGAAACAAGGAGAGTCTGAAGATGAGGATGAGAATCTTCCCATACAGGAGGTGTCCTTTGATCCTGAGAAAGCTCAGTGCTGCATAGTGGAGAATGGGCAGATTCTGACTCATGGAAGTGGAGGCAAAGGATATGGTTTAGCATCCACTGGAGTCACTTCTGGGTGTTACCAGTGGAAGGTGGGTTGCACAAAAGTGCATTTCTTAACTTCTCTCACTTGGATTTGGAAATATGCTATGATTTGTTAACAGCAGGTGTTTTTTCCCTTATGACAACACCCTTGAGTAAATGGCAGTGTTATGTTTATGGTTGGACTCTGATCTTAAGGATCTTCTCCAATCTAAATCATTCTATGATTTTATGATTTTTCAGTCCAAAGGGAAGAGTTTGTGGCTGCTTTTGAGTGCTGCTATTTGGGTATTTCAGTACACAGGTTGGAGAGTGTCCGTGTGTGTTGTGTGTTTGTAGAGGGTGATGGTACTTGTCCCTAAGATCCACAGTCAGCACGAATGTACCTGGTTTTGCAAAAGTTACCTGCTGAAATATTTTGAATTTTTTTTTCTGTAGAAAAACACTTCACAAAACATTGTTTTCTTGCAAAAAGACACATCAGCCTGACTGGCAAGAACAGTGTTTTAATACACCATCTGGAGTGATTTTAATTTTTTAGGAATACAGATACATACACAGTTGTGCTCCTTGTTAGTACCGCATTTGAGCATAACACTTATACTTTTTTTCCCCACTTGAATCTGTGAACATGAGATGAAAAACTTATTTCTTTCTGTAATATTATTTTAGTACTTGTAGCCCAACTTGTGTGTGTGTGTGTTGAGTCCAGAAACGCCCTCCCCCAACTTCTTTGTGTATTTACATATAGTTTTCTTCATTACTAGTGCATTAAGCTTAAATGACTTGTCAGTGACTGACCTTATACCCAAGATGTCATTTTAGAGCTGGAGCATGATTTCACCTTATAAACTTGTAATTTTTTTATTATTAAAAGCTTCTGAGAGAAACAGAAGTATACATACCGATGAGCAAGGAAAATTTTCGTTGCTTCGGTGTGTTCAAGTGCATATTCTTGCATTTTTTCCCTGTTTGTTTTGCCTGCCAGTTCTACATTGTGAAGGAGAACCGAGGCAATGAGGGCACATGTGTGGGGGTTTCCCGCTGGCCGGTCCATGATTTTAACCATCGCACCACCTCGGATATGTGGCTCTACAGAGCCTACAGTGGCAACCTCTACCACAATGGAGAGCAGACTTTGACCCTGTCCAGCTTCACCCAAGGAGATTTCATCACGTGTGTGTTGGATATGGAAGCAAGAACCATTTCCTTTGGGAAAAATGGAGAGGTATTTAACATCAATTGTTTTTTTTAATTACATCAGTAATATGACATGGATAGACATGGTGGTTAAAACTCATGATAGTTTCCGTATTTAAAACCTTTATAATACAGACACAACTTTTTCATGTTTCATGGTTTTGCTTGTTAAGGTGTTCTGAGTTGGGGTTTTTTTTTTGGTTTTTTCACTAGGAGCCCAAACTAGCTTTTGAAGATGTGGATGCAGCTGAGTTATACCCTTGTGTTATGTTCTACAGCAGTAATCCAGGAGAGAAGGTAACTTAAATGTTCATCTGTGTGCATGTGCTGATTTTGGCTGGGATAAGTCAGTATTCATCAGAGAAGCTTGTGTGGTGCTGTTTTGGATTTCTGGCCAAAACTGTGTTGATAATACAGTGTTTTAACTATTGTAATCTACTGTAAATTCAAAATGTATTTTATTATTTAGAATTCATTTACAGACTTAATGTTCTACATGAAAAATTCAGTTCCCCAGAAACCAGGCAGAATGTACTATCAGGATTTCTAGATAGTCTTTTGTGAGAAACCATCAACTGTTGTAATTTCAGCATCCTTGAGTTTGAAGGGCTGGAGGTTTTTGATCAGCGTTCAGGTGAATTAGGAAAGCAAAAAGAGGCAATGCTAGTAATTATTTCTATTCAGAAGACTCCTGTATTTATAAAAAGAGCTTATTCAGGTATGTTGAGAAGACAACTTTGACACCGTTCCTTCCAACGCGTAGGTGAAGATCTGCGACATGCAGATGCGAGGGACACCCAGAGACCTGCTGCCTGGGGACCCCATCTGCAGTCCCGTGGCTGCAGTGCTGGCAGAGGCCACCATCCAGCTGATCCGTATCCTGCACCGCACAGACCGCTGGACACACTGCATCAACAAAAAGATGATGGAAAGGCTGAACAAAATCAAAACCTGCCTTAAAGAAGCAGGGCAAAAGCTCAAGAAAAGCCGCTCGGTTCAGAGCCGGGAAGAGAGCGAGGTGAGAGAGGAGAAGGAGAACAAGGAGGAGGAGAAAGGCAAGCACGGGCGGCACGGCCTGGCCGAGCTGTCGGAGCTGCAGCTGAAGATGCTGTGTGCGGAGGTGTGGCCCGTGCTGGCCGTGATCGGAGGGGTGGACGCCGGGCTCAGGGTCGGAGGGCGCTGCGTGCACAAGCAAACCGGCCGGCACGCCACCCTGCTCGGGGTGGTCAAGGAAGGCAGCACCTCTGCCAAGGTGCAGTGGGATGAAGCAGAGATCACCATCAGGTATGTGCATTTCCTGCGCTTTTCAGCCCAGTGGTGCTTGGAAATCTTCAGAAGTAACAATACGTCTCGTGTTAGAGTCATGCTGAGCAATTACTGTAAGTTTAGATTCAGCGGTGTTGGAGTTAGTGCTGCCTCGAAGTGGGGTTCGTTCGGGGTCTGACCTGCCTTAGAGAGCCCAGGGAGTGCCCCTGTGTTAGGTGTGAGCAGTCTGGAGCTGCTGTTCTGCTGAGGATGGTGAGGACCAGGGAGGAGGCTGGAGGGAGATACCCCCTTTTCCCCTTCAAAGCGAAGGCACCTGGAAGGAAACTCCAAAACGAAGCCAGTGGCGTCTCTGGGCTCTCTGGTGCTCTCACAGGACTTGCCTGTGTTTTTGTGTGGAAAGATTGGATTCATTTAATTTCTTAAACTACTTTTGTCTGTAGCTGAACCACAGCCTTGTGGAGAAATTGAGCACTAATTATTTTTTTTTTTTTTTTTACTGCCGGTAAAAAAAAAATTACATTTTGAAATAGCTCGGGTCAGTTTGCCTCCTAGAGCTCTTGCAGCATTGTGTCTGTTTTGTCTTTGCAAAGGCTGTTGTCACTTTAACTAAATATACTGAAGTGCAATTGATTTAGTTCCAGATATAAATTCTTTCAAATACACCCATGTGACAGTATAGCTTTAAAGTAAATGTGCCCTTAAAATAACTTGAACCATTATTTGACTGAAGTGGTACAGCATTTGAACTTGATGTAAGGTATTGAGTTAAGTTCAGAGTGTACCTTCTTCATTAAAACCAGGCTAAAGCTTGCTTTTATTTTTAGCTAGAAGTTTATATTGTGAGATGGGAAAACATTTTAGGATAATAAAAGGAAGATTTAAAAGTCATTTATCTGCTGGATATGTGGAAAATACAAGATGTATGGAAATATGGACTGGTGAATTTTTGTCCTGCTTCAAGTGAAAATTAGTCAAGTGTAACAGTCCTAAATATCACCAGAAGATACCAGTGAATGTAGATGACAGATAGACCTCTGTGTCTATTGGGTTTTCTGATCTGTTTTTAAAATCACTGCCCTCACCAGGTAATCTGTCCTGACATACCAGGGACAGAATTATCATAAGCAGTCAGTAGTGTGGTGATGAACAGGAACATGAGGTCCATCGAAGCTTTTCCTTCATGTGAAAATTTTTTCCTTTATAAGCTTTTGTATCTATGCACAGATTCAGCTCAGGTATGATGATAAAATTGGGCTTAAGGTAGTTTTTCTTAGTAGAAGCCTGTTACATACCTCTAAATAATCTAGCCAAAGCCTGTGTCAGCACAGAATTGAGAGCTTCTGTGGGACTTCTGGGTTTCAATGCTTGTTGAAAACTTGTGTATGCTTTGTTGCCTTTGCTTTGAAACCATATCTCCCTGTTTTCTGGTCATAACCTCATTTTCCCCTGTTTGCATTTGATTTTTAGAATCGGTTTATTTTATCAGATATATTTTACATCTTACTTTGCCTACATTATTTCCTGTACTTTCCTCCTGTCTCTCCCTCACTTGCTTTTTCCTGTGTCATTCTGATCTTTATTAAAGCTTCCCAACTTTTTGGTCGCCTAGTGATACCCCACTGTATAATCTGGAGCCCTGTGAACCACTGCCTTTTGATGTTGCAAGATTCCGTGGGCTGACAGCTACTGTGTTGCTGGACCTTACCTATCTGACTGGCATTCATGAAGACATGGGCAAGCAAAGCACCAAGAGACACGAGAAAAAACACAGACATGAATCTGAAGATAAAGGGGAGACAGACCAGAAGGCGGAGGGTGATGCTGGATCAGACACACGATTAGGACCAGGCGCTGATGAGAGCAAAGGACATGGTGCTACAAGCTCTAAGTCAGAAAATGAAATTGTTTCCTTTTCTTTAGAACCTTCGACACTAGGTATGGAATCCCAGCACCAACCTGGGGAAGGAAGAAAAAAGAATCACGAGCATAGTCCAAGAAGTCACGACATAGTGCAGTCAGAAATCAGGGCTGTGCAGCTGTCCTACCTTTACCTGGGGGCCATGAAGTCCCTTAGTGTTCTCCTGAGCTGTAGTAAGTACGCTGAGCTGCTGCTGATACCAAAAGTGCTGGCAGAAAACGGGCACAACTCGGACTGTGCCAGTTCCCCAGTGGTCCATGAAGATGTGGAGATGAGGGCTGCCCTGCAGTTCCTCATGAGGCACATGGTCAAACGGGCAGTCATGCGGTCGCCCATCAAGAGAGCCCTGGGACTGGCAGACCTGGAACGGGCACAAGCCATGATCTACAAGTTAGTGGTTCATGGGCTGCTGGAGGACCAGTTTGGTGGCAGACTTAAACCAGGTACATTTTCAAAATCATGGAAGTATAGGGCTACATTGATTTTTTTTTTAATTTATATTATAATTATTAGTAACAATGATAATACAAATAACGTAGTCTTGTAATTTTGTAGTGGTTATGCTTTGGAGGAGTCTTAATTGGACAGAGAAATTTTGCAAAGCAGTTTTACTGTTTTATAAACATAATACTGACTTTTTTGCCTTTTCTCAAATTCCTTATTAAAATAAATAGTGAATGTATATCAGTCAATCAGAAATATAGGAGTTTCTAATTTGTCTTTAATACTTTTTTAAAATGAGCAGTTCTGTATATACTTGTCAGAAGGGTTTGCACTCCTTCTAAACCAACAAAAAAACCCTCTTAAAAATGTTACTCGGACAGCTGAGATAAAGATAGCTTTATAGTTAATCAGCTCTGTTTCCATGCCTAAGACCTCTTCCCCTTTTGCCTATTTTGAAAATAATCCTGGCTGTTACAACTGTGAATCTAAATATCATAAGATCTGGTGGAAGTAAATGTCTTGTTTGCTGTTTACCTTGTGTTGCTGTCAAAACAGCAAGAGCTCAATGGCTGATTTTTCCATCAGTCCGTGAGTTACTGGCAGCAGAAGTACTTGTATGGGGTGCATTTCTGCACACCCCCTTCTCTGGGGAGAATTTTGAATAATCAGAGTTATTTTTGAAAGTTGGAAGTTTAGCCCTGACTACATTAATATAATGCTCTACAGCATTATATTAATGTTGCTGTAACGTCCTTTTTTCTGTTGCAGAAGTGGAGCAACAAGTAGAAGAAGGTGATCAGTCTCAGCAAGCCCAGACTCCAGTTACAACCAGCCCTTCTGCTTCCAGCACAACATCTTTCATGAGCAGCTCCCTGGAGGATACAACCACTGCTACTACTCCAGTGACTGATACAGAAACAGTTCCAGCTTCAGAATCACCTGGTGTTATGCCTCTCAGTCTTCTTAGGTAAAATACCCTATCAGCATGTAGGATTTTGTGGGTGTAGGGAACCAATTGTGTGGTTTATATACAATATATGTCTTTAGATAAGCCTTTGAAAATGCTAATGTTTGTATTTACTGTCAAGAACTGCCTCTGCAGAGTTTAATTAGTTACTTTACTTTGCAGGCTTTGTGTTAGATCTCTGAAATTCTGTATTGTTAACAAATGTTTGTTGATTCTCAAACCAGAGCAGATTTTAGTTGGTAGGTAACATCCTGTAAGCTAAGGCATTGTTTCATCTTACCTCACTTACTGAAATGGAAGATAAACCTGGTTAATCTGCAGAGGCTATTTGTGATGTAGAACAAAGTCTGCTTTACATTGCATAGAGTCCTGTTCTAAGTTTATTAATTCTTAGAGGTTTTGCAGATATAATTTGATAAAAGCCAGAACGATGTCTTTGTACCAGGACAGTGAAAATAAAATATTCACCTGATCTATTACTCTGCCTGAGTTCTGAACAAACTGGGGAAATGAGAAAAATGTTTACTTATCTTTTATCTCCTAGGACAGCCCTTGGTCTGGCAGGGGATTTTTAGGTGCATACTTAGAATTTATTGTTGCAGGTAAATTGGTAGGAATGAACTGTTCTGACAGGGTTTTTGGGCTTGTCTCCATGTGTGTGTTGTACTTTACCCTTACAAAACACAATTGCTGTAAGGTAGGATTTGCCAAGTGCACTCCAACTTGATGCATTTCTTGTGTCAGACCTTTTCCAGCATAGCTCTTTTTGACATAAATGTGTATTGTTTTATTTTCAAGGCAAATGTTCTCCAGTTACCCGACTACAACTGTGCTTCCAGCACGACGTGCTCAGACTCCTCCAATATCTTCTTTACCAACATCTCCTTCAGATGAGGTTGGAAGGAGACAAAGTCTGACTTCCCCTGATTCCCAGTCTGCCAGGCCTGCCAATCGTACAGGTAAACTTAGTGTAGATGGAGATGTGGACAAGTCAGTACATTCCCAGGAATTCAGTGACAGGATTGCAAAGATTGAAAACCAACCCAGTTACTTTTTAAGGCAACCTAACATTCAAAGCATTGTTGAAAACCTTTTGGTGACTATTTTAGCATGAAAAAATGTAGATTGTCTAGCTGTAGACTTTATCAAGCAAATGAAAGGAGTTTTTGAGAGCTGTGGATCGGATTACAAACTGCACGTATAAAACCAGAATGCAGTATTGTTGGTAATTGCTTCAAAATGTCAGTCTGATTTGGGCTTGCTTCCTTGGTTGTGTGCCACTGTTACATGCACTAATTTTCTAACTTTTGTTAGATCACATACTATGTAGAAAACAAGAATTGGTGTATTTTATGATACATGCACCAATATAGCTCATTGCAATTAATTATAATTAATGACATAGAAGGGGCTGTCCAACCTTCATGGGGTCCTCGTGCTCCTGTCTGAATCTTGTGAAGGGAATGGGAGGCTTCAAAGCAGAAACAGAAATGTGGAATAAATGGAGACTGAGCAAATTGTTGAGTGAGAGTCTTGAGCTTCTGAAGAGCACCAATGAGTGTTGTGGTGCAGAGGAGATAACAACACTAAAAAGAAAATACATATGTATGTGTTCTATATTAAATGAGCAAAAGAGTCCAAGGTGAAGTATGTTCTCCAGATTTCATATTCATGCTGAGAAACAAAGTCTGTGCTTTAAAACTCTCGAATGAGAAACTTGTTATTCCTGCTCTTACATCCAAGCTATTAGTTGGGTTTTTTAGCAGTTCCATTTGTTGCATAGCAACTGCTCTACTCTGTTTCATGTCCCCTTTTTTTTCTTTTTTTAATTATGAGATGACTTGCTTCTAGTCACGATACAGCCTTTACAACAGAGTCTGTTAGTTCTTTGTTGCCTTCACTCATCAGACTTCACTGTTATGGCAAATGATAATGATTAACTGTGGTTTTGGGGAAGGAACTGACCTTTCTAGAGTCTCTCCAAAGACTGACTGCACAGAAATGTAGCCACCATCTGCAAAGAGATTTTTCAGGTGCATTACCAGCTTAGTTGAGGTCTCTTTCTGCCCCTTGTGAGGAATGTGTATTGATGTGATCTCATCACATTTGGGAATCCTGATGATTTGGACGAGGATAACTTATCTAGGTTAACTATATATAGACCAAATAGATAATCTGATACAGTTTTAAATGAAAATAATAAGAAATGTCTTAAAAGAAATAGTTCTTTGACTATCATCAGTACCCTACTTGAGCAGAGGCACAGATAATCTGTTGTCAGTAACATTACAGAAAGTATCCTAGTTTGTGGAAAAATAATAGAGAGAAAAGTTGAGAGCAGTTATTCCCTTATGTGAAGCTGATGTGTCAAAGTAAGGTCTAGTAAAGTACCACTAAAGAAAGATTTATGCACTTTACATGTAACATTTTCTCTCTTTTAAGCTTTGTCTGATCCAAGCAGCCGACTCTCCACATCCCCTCCTCCTCCTGCCATCGCTGTGCCATTGCTGGAAATGGGCTTCTCCCTCAGGCAAATTGCCAAAGCTATGGAAGCTACAGGTAATCTAGAACTATAGTAGCAGTTCAAACTGAAAAACTGAAAACACATTCTTTTTCCAATAGAATACTTAATTTTTAAGTTCTATAACCATTTATGGGGAAAAAATTATTTTGTTTTTTTTTTTTTTAATAATCATCAGTGATAAAATAGAGGTCTGAAGCGCGGTTCCCCTGCTTTCAGGTGCCAGAGGAGAAGCAGATGCCCAGAATATCACAGTCCTGGCCATGTGGATGATAGAGCACCCTGGCAATGAAGACGATGAGGAGCCCCAGTCCGAGGGGACTGCGGAGTCACGGCACGGGACAATTGTCTCTGGCAGTGGTGGGAAGTCTGGTGACCATTGTTATTTGCAGTCTCCAGGTGATATCCCTTCTGCTGATGCCACTGAAATGGAGGAAGGCTTTAGTGAGAGGTAACATGTCATTTTTCTGTCGTTGCTTGTGATGTTCCTGAAACTGGACATCTCACAAGTTCAGTGCTGCTGACAGAGTGTTACTGTGGTGCTGCTTTGGAATTTTGTTACAGCACGAGTAGGAGCAAAGGGGCAATTAAATTAGGTGTACATGGTGAATTTGTTTTCCAGTACTGTGTGTGTGCAGAACTGAGCAAGAATGTAACTAAACATGTTTCCTTCAAAAAAAAAAAAGAGAGAAAGGAAGAATGAAAAAAATGAGGGCTTATAATTGCATTTTAACTAAAAGACGGAGTAAGAAAGCAAAATTTCATTGGTGTACTTCTTTCCCTGCAGTTTATACATGAACTGGAATTTTTATACATATTTCTTTTTAAATTAATTCTTGGTTTGTCCAGAGCAGATGAAGCTGAATTGAAGTTTACTTTCTCAGTCACCTTCACAACCTTAGAGATAAACTATCTCTTAAAGAAGAAGGTGGATCTTTTGGGGGGTTTGGTGGGTTCTTTCTCGTTGCTGTTTTGTTGGGTTTCTTTAAATCCTGGAAGTAGTGGTTACATTTTTAAGCGACCCCTTTCAGGAACCATACCAGCATTTCTGTTAATAGAGAGGATGACTGTTACGAGATACATTTTGAGAACACTTGTTCACATTCCTCAGTCCTACCGAGATAAGTGTTTTTAGGTTTCCTCTGTTACTTTGTCCCAGATCATCTGTCAGTTCATGGAGAACTCACAGATTTCAGTTGGGAGAAATAAAAGAAGCAACAGGTGTTACTAAGTAACTTAAATTTGTGTTTTGCAAAAGATGTGGGGCAAAAGGGGGATTGACTCAGCGAACAACAACAGAGATGTTGTTTCAAAAATGAGAAGAAACCTAGTTCAAGCTGTAGTTAACATAGAGATGAGTGCTCTCCCAAAATTTCTGCAGTGCTCAGGCACTATGGAAGGCGTCAGATAGGTATTGACATTGCTGCACCTGATTTGTTTGAGGAAAATGTCACAGTCAAACCCACAGTAAATACGTGCTCAGTGGGACTGAAAATTCTTGAACTCAAAATTCCTCTTTTTTTCCTTCCATGAAAGAAAGGAACAAATGCTCCTAAATATGGCTTTGGTTTTTTTCTTTACTTACAGTATGTGGTTGTTTAAAACTTGGTTTGACTTACCTGTAAATTCCAAATTCTTGTAGCCCTGATAATATGGATCACATGGATAATGCAGCTTCTGCCAGTGGCCCTCCCTCCAGAAGTCGCTCGGCTGTGACACGGAGGCACAAATTTGACCTGGCTGCCCGGACACTGCTGGCACGGGCTGGTAAGTGCCCTCAGAGACACACCAGGGCTTGGCTTGACCAGGGAGGGAACAGGAGGGGGATTGGCACTTAGCATGAAGTCTAGAAAACTCCTTCTCACATGTGTATCAGTGTATATTTAAGTGTTTCATGTGGTAATAAGTAGATTATGGTTAGCAGAAGAGTTAAAAAAGAAAGTTGAAAGTACAGCTATCTCTCTTATATGTAAAATAAAAATTCTGCTTTCCTATTTCTCCCTTTTTTTCTCCCTTGAGCGGGATTGTACCGCTCCGTGCAGGCCCACAGGAACCAGAGCCGCCGGGAAGGGATATCACTGCAGCAGGATCCAGGGGCACTTTATGACTTCAACTTGGATGAGGAGCTGGAGATTGACCTTGATGATGAAGCGATGGAAGCCATGTTTGGGCAAGACCTGGCTAGTGATAATGATATTCTGGGAATGTGGATCCCAGAGGTATTGGACTGGCCTACCTGGGTGTGTGTGACTGCAGCGGGGGCTGCTTTAACTTACTGCTTTTTGCATGCTCGTATTTGTGGATTTGAAGTAACATGTGAAAGCTTATATCCTGTTTGAAGATATGTCTAAATGCCAGCAGTGCTTAAAATCTTTTTGTATTCTGTAGCTTCTTTTCTAGATTAAGACTAGTGTTTTCTTGTGTTTCTCGCTCGGCACTTCCCCACCTGTGTAGTTTTTCTTCTCTCTCCCCTTAAAAATGAGAACACAACTAGCATACATTGTGATGTATGTATAGTTGTTCTGATGATATCAATTAGAAATCAAGTAGGTGTTTCCAGATGGCACAGTTCTAAATGCCTCTTCTGCTGCTACTACTAATAGTATCTGAACTGTAGCAACATCATTCACACTTAAATCAGTTTTTCTTAATTTAGTCGTGTCATGTATTTCATTCTCTGGGAAGGATGTGGTGATAGTCCTCACTGAATTGCTGTGTAGAGCAGTAAAAAACTCTTGAGGTGGAAGAGAAATGTAATAACAGCAGTTTGGTAATCTTTGGATTATCTGTGTCAAATTAGACAATCAACCCATAAGACTAAGCTTTTGTCTCCTAATTATGATGTTACCTGACTTCAATATGGAAGCAAGTTTCAGTGTGCATATTAAATTTTTCAGAGCACTTGTTTCACTGAGACACCTCAATGAAATTACTGTCTTAGGACAGAAATGTAGTTATAGCAAAATGAACTTCATATTGAGGTAAAACTTTGAAATTTGCTGACACAAATACTGGTTGTTGTTGCTCAGTAAACTTAAAATCTGATTGTCTGAAACAACAAAGGGTTCCTTTTCTCTGTTAGATTTAGTTTCAGACAAGTTCTGAGGAGAACCACATAAAGACAGTGTTGAGTGTGAACAGGGTTGTATGTGAAAAGTTATATGTGACAAGAATTTTGAGTCAATCTGAAATCGAGTAGGAAACTGTCTCCTGAAACTTTACTTCCAAATGTTTTTCCTGTTGTGAGATGGTCTTCTTTTCATTATGTCCAATGAAAGGTAGATAGGAAGATTTAGGGACTGGAGTACCTCCCCTGTGAGGAAAGGCTGAGAGAGCTGGGACTGTTCAACCTGGGGCAGAGATGACTCAGGGGAGTCATCTTACTAATGTGGGATGTGTAAAGCCAGGCTCTTTTCAGTGACAGAAGCAGAGCCAGTGGCACAAACTGAAGCACAGGAAGTTCCCTCTGAGAATAAGGAAACACTTCCTCACTGTGAGAATGTCCAAGAACTGGCCCAGGTTTCCTAGATGGGTTGTGGTGTCTCCATCCCTGGAGATATGGAAAAGCCACCTGGACAAGGTCCTGGGCTGTAGGTGGCCCTGCTTGAGCAGGGAGAGTTGGATGAGATGATCTCTCTACAACTCCCTGACAGGAGGGTGTAGCCAGGTGGGGGTTGGTCTCTCCTCCCAGGCAACTGTCAGCAAGACAAGAGGGCTGGGTCTTAAGCTGTGCCAGGGGAGGTTTAGGTTGGATATTAGGAAGAAATTCTCTACAGAAAGGGTAATCAGCCATTGGAATGGGCTGCCCAGGGAAGTGGGGGATTCTCCATCCCTGGAGGTTTTTAAGATGAGACTGGATGTGGCATCAGTGCCATGGGCTGGGAACCACAGCGGGGTTGGACTTGATGATCTTGGAGGTCCCTTCCAACCCAACTGATTCTATGATTCTGTGATCTCCAGAGGTCCCATCCAGTATCAACCATTCTGTGATGCTGCTTTGCTTTGTGCAAGTTGAGCATATAAATATCACTCTGTGTGTCACAGAAACGTGCCGGAACAGCCACCTGAGATCGCCGGCATGGTTTACATCTAACACAAAGGTATTTATTCCGTGCAAATAACGTGTGCAAATCTTCCTGTGCAGCACGTTTGTGAGTCTGAAGACAGAGAAGAAGTGGTGGTTTGTGAGCTGTGTGAGTCCAGCGTGGTGAGCTTCAACCAGCACATGAAGAGGAACCACCCTGGCTGCGGGCGCAGCGCCAACCGGCAGGGCTATCGCAGCAACGGCTCCTACGTGGACGGCTGGTTCGGGGGCGAGTGTGGCAGTGGCAATCCCTACTACTTGTTGTGTGGCATCTGCAGAGAGAAGTACTTGGCCCTGAAGAGCAAATCCAAAACGTCAACTTCCGAAAGGTACGGAAATGGAGGGCAGTGGAATTCCCAGCAGGATTTCCTGAGCCTTAAAATCTCGCGCTGCGTTCAGCAAATGCGTGTTTAGAAAAGAAGGTGAACTAGATATTTCTGGGTTTTAAGTGAAAACCAGGCAATAATTTCTTGGGATTTTGCCTACTTCTTATTGACTTTTGGAAACTTGTTATCAGTTTTGTCTGACAATTCCAGTATTTTTTGTGGGTTTTTCTCACATTAGTACTGCAAAATTCTTCCCTCCTCCACCCACATATACTTTTAGGCTCTCTTATCTATTTCTCTCTTACTAGCCATTTCCAGAATCATTCATAAATATATGTAGATGTAACAGTAAGGTTAGGTTTAAAAGGGAACCAAGTTTAAAATTGTTATGCATATTTGCAAAATATTAGAGCCATTCAGTAATTTTCTTTGTTATTTTTTCCTACAGGTACAAAGGCCAGGCTCCTGATTTGATAGGTAAACAAGACAGTGTCTATGAAGGTAAGTTTTTAAGTTGCACAGTGATTTATTTTTTCATAGAAGTAATTCCATGCAAATGAACCTGAAACTGTACACAAAGGTATATTTTTAGATCTCCCAATTAGATGTAGTATTTTAGTTTTGGGAGGGCTTTTTTTAGTTCAAATCAGAAAAAACCCCAGTGATTTTTTTCTTCCCTCCTCCCCCCCCATCTTTCATCTAAGCAGCTGAAATGGCAAATACCTGACTTGGGGTGATAAGGTGTTGTGGGAAGGTGTTATGTCTAGAACTGCACATGCAAAACCTTATGTTCAAATACTTTCCTTCAGCTGCCTTTGTGGGAGAAATTAGTGTTAGTTAGTGTCCAAAGGTCTGCCATTAGGCTTGTTCTTAATTTTTCTGCCTTTGTCCTGGGAGAGGCTTTTACTTTAAACAGATTATTTCTAGTGTCTGTAGAAAAGCTTTCCCAGATGGTTCTTTGATTCTGGTCCTTTCTGTAGCTGCATGATGGCAGTTGTGTGATTTACCACATTTGTGTACTTGGGCAAGTCCATCTACCAGTAGATTAAAGGTGTTTGGATTCTACCGTGTGGAGTGAGACAGAGCAGGGGAGACCAGAAAATATAAGTTAACTTCTTTTGTAAATGATTGGGAAGTGGATGGAATTTAATGAGTTGCAATTATAATGCTTCTTTTTTATATTTTTCCCTTTTATTCTTTTTTTTTTCTTTTCACCCTGGGAAGGAAAAGCAAAAGCCTGAGTGTCTGATTATAACCTGTGGACTCATGCCTACTTTTTTGATAAATATAAAGACCAGGAATTTTTAATATCTGTATTTATTCTTCAGTCCTTTGGCATATGCACTTGTTACCATGATTTAAAGCACAGCTGTATGTCTGTGCTTTTCGCTGTATTCCAGGTTTTGGAGTTGTCTTGTGCTACGTGTGGAGACCTCCAGTTTCTGTGTTTTCAAACAACAGCTAGTTTGATACTTTAGAGAGTCTTCCATGAAACCTTTGGGCAGTATATATAAAGATCAAGTTGAATAGAGAGGGGCAAGAGCTGGACTTTGTTTTTCTGATTTACTCTGTTGTGTCTATGTCAACATCAGAAGATGAGTTTTTAAGACTTACTGTGTTGCAAATGACAATACACGTTTTGTACCTTGCACTGTTTTTTTTTTAATTAATTGGAATTATTTAATATTCTAGCTTTTGTAACCAAGTCTAATTCTATTTCCCCAACTCTAGAAGACTGGGATATGTTAGATGTAGACGAAGATGAAAAGCTGACAGGAGAAGAAGAGTTTGAATTACTGGCTGGACCTCTTGGGTTAAATGATCGGCGCATTGTCCCCGAACCTGTCCAGTTCCCTGACAGTGACCCCCTGGGGGCTTCAGTTGCAATGGTCACAGCCACCAACAGCATGGAAGAAACACTGATGCAAATAGGTAAATTTAAAATCCATTTCATTCAAAGAATAAATAATCATCATAATACCACCCCCACCACCTCCTCTTTGGTGTGATTTTTGTAGGGGCAGTGCAGAAACAGTCTGACAGTATTTCCTTCCTGCCACCACGAGAAAGGAAAGACAAGCTCTAAATTGTCCTTTTATTTTAGGGGAGTTAGAGAGAGCAGTGAGGATTATAAATTGCCAGGAGGCTTGAAGCTTTAATTTGCCAATAAAATTGTGCCCACAGTGAATGTCAGTAGCATGTTTTGCACTCAAAGAATGGGTTTAAGTTGGGACTTCCAAGTAGGCCTCTCTGACGGAAAAGGGAAACAGAGAAGTTAACTTGAGTATTGTCAAGTAGTTCTCATCTATGAAATTGAGGAATGATTAAATTATGGAGTGTATTTCAGGAGTGTATTTTCCTCTCAGTCATTATCACTATATAGTTCTGTATGAAATAGTGAAAAATGCATGAATAGTTTATGAACTTAGGCCATATTTGCTTCTGTGCTTATTACTGTATGGTAAAGTTTTGGTTTTCTTTAAACACTAATGCAAATCATTGTTATTTCCAAGGCTGCCATGGCTCAATAGAGAAGAGTTCCTCTGGCAGGATAACCTTGGGAGAACAGGCAGCTGCCCTGGCGAATCCACACGACCGTGTCATGGCTCTGAGGAGAGTCACAGCTGCTGCCCAAGTCCTCCTGGCAAGAACCATGGTTATGAGAGCACTCTCACTTTTGTCTGTCAGGTTGGTGGCATCCTTGGCAACACTTTTACCTTTTCTTTCAGAACCAGTTACCAACTTATGTTTGATAAGACGTAATTTTAAGCTATTTGGGGAAGTGATTCTCATTTTATGTACTTACATAATACTTCCGAGAGGAAGAGTTCTGCTGATTTTGTTCTTTTAACCAAGAGCATTTCTGTCCATTTTCACAGTGGTTCCAGTTGCAGCCTGGCAGCTGGACTGGAATCCCTGGGGCTGACGGACATCCGGACGCTGGTGCGGTTGATGTGCCTGGCGGCGGCGGGGAGGGCAGGGCTCTCCACCAGCCCATCCACGGTGTCCAGCTCAGCAGAGAGATCCAGGGGCATCCACAGCAAAACAAGCAAGCCCATCTCTTGCCTTGCCTACCTGAGCACTGCAGTTGGGTGCTTGGCATCAAACACTCCCAGCGCTGCAAAGCTGCTGGTGCAGTTGTGTACACAGGTAGGACTGTTCTCTGAGCTGCAGTACTTCCTTAAAACTACCTATACATGAGATGAAGCAATCCCTTTTGTACATATGGATCATTCTAGCCTCTGAACTGGGATGAGACTGACCTCAGTTTGAGGATCTCCTTAGAGTTCTTGTTTATGGCTTTGCACAAGGCTGTGTTTTATTGTTGGTAAAAATCAAGTAACTATACATGTTTTTGCTGAGTACTCTTTTCAAGTGAGGAAAATGGGTGTGCTCTTTGTTTTCATAGGGGTTTTCTGTTTAGGTTCTGGGTTTTTTTTTCCTGAGTCAACTCTGTGTAGAGCACAGGAAAAAAAAATTAAAAACCTTTAAAACTCTGCCTGATTTATCCAACTGAAAGGGTTCTCTAAAATTTCTATTTCTGTTTGTTCTGGATAACCAGAACAATAAATAATTATCATCTTCAATTATTTCTTTCTAGAATTTGATTTCTGCAGCAACTGGTGTGAACTTGACAACAGTTGATGATCCAATTCAGCGAAAATTTTTGCCAAGTTTTTTAAGGGGAATTGCAGAAGAAAACAAACTTGTCACATCTCCGAATTTTGTGGTTACTCAAGCACTTGTAGCATTGTTGGCAGACAAAGGGGCCAAACTGAGGCCAAACTATGATAAAGCTGAAATTGAAAAGAAAGGTATGATATAGCTTTGTTTTTAAATGTTGATCATTAAATCTTGAGTTCCTCATTTTTAAATGTAAGGGAGAGACTTGCTAGAAAAATGTCTAAATAGATGTACTCTGAAAAATGTACAAAACTTGTTTTAATGAAAGGAATCTTGCCGTTTATGACAGACATTTTAATTAGAATTACAATCTTATTACATAATTGCATCTTTAAAAAAAGTCAGAATGTGTGTTGTTCAAAGCCATAGAGCTGAGACATTGAGCCTTGGTCGTGCCTCCTGGTGGAACTAGGGGGAGTAACAGGTGATGGCTGCCACCCAAGTGCTGTTCTGTGTCTGATCAGAAAGTCGTGCTGCCTGTGCTTGGAGAGATCAGGGAGCCCTGGAGCAGCTGCTGTTGCTGTGATAAAGAGAGGGAAGGACACGACAGTGACAGCAGCGTCAGGGGAGGCGTTTTCTTGTTCAGAAAGCACTTGCTCTCTGAACAACCATTTTACCTGTGGTGGAAATAAGACACTTTATAATTCTATTCTTAAGAACAGAGTATTCATTTGTTTTTGTGAAAACGCAACTGGGGTTATTTTAGTGTCAGAGGAGTGCTTTTCCTCACGGTTGACGTGATCGCGACGTCGCCGTTTAGTCTCTTTTCTGGGAATGCTGGCTAATGCTGTGCTCACTGTGTGCAATTCCGTGTGGTACTCATCTGGCCGTCATCTCATTGTCGTTTAAGCAGGTTTAATTGCCCATTTGTATGCCCATCCTTCCTATGATCCCTCTGCTGTAGGCCCTCTGGAGCTGGCGAACGCGCTGGCCGCGTGCTGCCTGTCCTCGCGCCTCTCCTCGCAGCACCGCCAGTGGGCCGCCCAGCAGCTCGTGCGCACGCTCGCCGCCCACGACAGGGACAACCAGAGCGTCCCCCAGACCCTCGCTGACATGGGGGGGGACCTCAGGAAGTGCTCCTTCATCAAGCTGGAGGCTCATCAGAACAGGGTAAGCCTGGTTTGCCTGCCTAACACGGAAGGAGAAGCTCTCCGAACAGTGTTAGTGTAGGCAAGGTAGAGAGCGGTTCTGTAGCGAAAGCCTTCAGGTGCACAGGGACACACACCCGCACAGAGAATTCTCACACTTGTATAACTTCAGCTAATTACCACATCTAGTCAGTACTACCAACCCTAAACCCACTTTTGCCCCTGTTACCACCCGCAGAACTGTCCTGTTGGGGCCTTTCTAAGGGTTCCAGGCCCTCTGCTTGTTTCGGCTACAATACATCTTATTATTCCAGTCCCAAACAGGGTGTGCTTGCTAAAATCTCTTTCCTTGAAAAGGCTGTTAAACAGAAAATTCAGGAATGTAGCACAAACCATGAGAAAGGCTTTTTAGTAACAGTCTAAAGTGAAAGAAAACTATACAGCCATATTAAAATCTACAAGAAGCTAAAAATCTTCAGGCGTCAGTCTCACGCAGCAATTTTAACACTCTTTTGTAGAATACATTAAAAATAAAATAATATTATCTTACAAATATGCTGGCTGAAATGATTTCCCACAAGAAGTAATTTTTTGGAGATTAAGTTATTGCCTGAGGTAAGTTATTGCATCTCTGAAGCACAAAAATGCTTGGCTTTTTTGATGCTTCAATTAAAGGCATCATGGGAGTGTTCTTAACGGCACATGAAGTCAGCAGAATCACCCTGAGTGTTTTCTTAGACTAGATCTGTATTTGCATTCATTTTTCTGCCATGGTTTTCTGTGCAATAGTGACCTGTGGAGCAGGGCTCTGTATGAAGTGTGGCACCCTTATAACTCCTGTTTAATTGCAATATATTTATATATCGTACTATATATATTATATTATATTATATATATAATAGTACTGTAAAAGTAGAAAAATAAATCTTGATCATTACAGTGTATTTCAATACTGTTGCTGGTGCTCTGTCTCATTGGTTAATGTTTGCTTAATGTGAGTGAGCAAAACCACCTGAGTTTCCAGTTCCAGTTTTGCCATGATTACTTTGGTATTTGTAGGTCATGACGTGTGTTTGGTGCAATAAAAAGGGACTTTTGGCAACCAGTGGGAACGATGGCACCATAAGAGTGTGGAATGTGACAAAGAAGCAGTACTCACTGCAGCAAACCTGTGTGCTCAACAAGCTGTAAGTTGGTTCTTTACAACAATCAGGTATTTAATTTGAGCTGAAAATTGTGCAAGATAATGAAAAGAGCCAGCCCTCTAATGTCTCCTGCACGTGTTCTCTGGGACTGTGGCTGTGTTTATGGCCTGCAGAATAAATTAAATAGCTTAAAACTGAAAACAGAACTTAAGTATCAACTTGGTAAGAGTCTGTATAAAGAGATCATGTGAAAGCTGTTTAAAACCATTCTTAATTAATTGATATAAGGAGAAATGGGTAAAATGAAGACTGTGTGGGACTGTCATATAACAAACAGATGAATATCCCTCCAGTGGGTTCCAGTGGACAGCTCCAAAGTATGATCATTGCAAGTGTGGTCATTTGTGTTAAGTGTGAAAAAAGAACTTGGGACTTGTGGATTCAGGAACTGAGTGTAATTCTTCTTCATGAGAGTGTCTGGGAAGTGCTTTTCTATCGTTTGGATGTGTCCAAAAAAGAAGAAAGCAGAAGGAAAGACTGAAATCTAATTCTATAGTAGAGCATAGGAGAGTTTAACTCAGGAGAATGAAGAAACAATAGTGAATTAGAAGGTTGTTTCCTGACAATTTCTTAGTGGTTGTTCTAGTTCTTGTTTACTTGCTGCTGGTGGATGTGGCCTTAAAAGCAGTATATGGAGTGACATAACAATATTATAGCCTTCATTTTTCTGTTATTAAAAACAGTAAAAAGTGTTGTTTATAACCTTAAGGGCAATTAAAGATATCAGTGGTCCTGTTACAGTTAGCCAAAGCAGACAGTGTAACATTATATTGGGAGGAAGAGTTTAAAATAGAGTTGAGAGCAAGATGTTCCTCTTTAATTTCTTGTCCAGAAACTTTTGCACTCAACTAAAGATGTTAATTTTGAGAAATAAGTAGGTAAAGATAATTTCATTATTTTCCAATTGAAACCTAGCTTGAAATTTCTTGGAAATAACTAGTATGTCATTCTGTAATCTGGAGTGGTTTTAGAGAGAATGTAGAAGTATGAGCAGAAAAATGTTACGTAAATCTGCAGTCATGGCAGGACACCAGGTTTTAGCTCAGTATTTCAATGAATTCTGTGTTTTCCTATCTGCTTAAAGAAAATGCCCATTTTAATTGTATTTTTTTTTTTCTGTTACAGAGAAGGTGATTCTGAAGAAAGTCTGGGGTCACCCAGTGACCTTAGTTTATCTCTTGTCTGTTGGAGCATCAGTGGCAAATATCTGGCTGGAGCTACAGAAAAGATGGTGAACATATGGCAAGTCAATGGTATGCCCTTAACTACCTCTGAACTCGTTATGATGCACAGATTTGTAGGGGAAGTTACTGCATGTTTGTTTACCCAAGTATTTAAGTGTCTGCTGTCCAGTTTAAGTGCCTGCAGTCTCCCATAATGTCTTGGGAACCTGTTCCTTTAGAGGAGGGCACTGACCTCAAGTGGATGTGTGACTTACATCTTTGAGAGGAAGACTTTTAGTCACTGTCCTCTGTAATCTTGGAAACTCCATTCTGTTCTTTGCACTTAGGAAAATCCCCAGTTCCACTGCCTGTGTTAACAGACAGTCCCAGGAAAGGAATACGTTTACTGAGTACTGAAGAATTTAGTTGATCCTTAACAAAACTATGTAACTTGACTGATAATTGAGATTTGTTAGCTCGATTTTTGTGCCTGTGTTTTGTATTCTTGTAACTTGGGTGAATTTCTAGTATGTTTTAACTCTAAATAAGATCTCTTGGTATTTTCTCACGGTAAGTATTTTTGTTGCTTTCTTTATGAAGTCGTTTTAAAAGACTTTTTGGTTTCGTAGGAGGAAAAGGATTATTAGATCTCCAGCCTCACTGGGTGTCTGCTCTAGCCTGGCCAGAAGAAGGGCCAGCTGCAGCATGGACAGGGGATGCTCCAGAATTGCTGTTAATTGGTCGTATGGATGGATCTCTTGCTCTTATTGAAGTTGTGGATATCTCAGCCATGCACAGGCTGGAGCTGGAACACTGCTACAGAAAGGATGGTAAGGGACTGCATCAGCATTGGCAATTAAAACTGGGAAAACATCCCCCCTCCCTTTTTACTAAGCAAGTATAAAATCTCTTTTTTTTTTCTTGTTATCATTCGTGGGGTGTGAATTCTGGTACCTCACCTGCAAGTGTCATTCATGGGAGGAGAAAAGTCTGGGGGATCTCCATCTGCACCCTCACTCCCCCACAACAGAGATAAACAGTTTGTAGCAACCGGGTCAAACCCTGACATTCCTTGCTGTTGTGGAAAATCCCCAGAGGTCCCCTGCAGTGTCTGCTCTGTCTGCAGGTAGCGTGGAGTCAGTGTCATTTGAGTTCCTGGGAGATTGCCACTTTTCCTTCATAGTTCCAGTCCCAGGGGACATCAAGTAGCACATCTTTGGCAGTATTGTGTGGGTTTGCTTCTTCAGGAAGTTTGCAGATTTTTTTTTTTTTCAGAATCAATTGAGGGAATATCTACTTGCTAAGAAAGGCAAGTTGTTTTCCAGAACCTTTCTTAGAAGCACCCCTATTTCAGATACATAGGATTCAGTCTACTTTTCTTTTGCCCCTGTATAATTATTTTCACCGTGCCAGAAATTTAAACTCAATTATTTTAGTAAAAAGAAGAATGAGAGAACTAATACAAAATAATCTCAACAGCTGTCATTTCAGTGAAACTCAGTTTTATCTTTACCATACAAATTTGAGAAAATTTTCAAAAGCAAAAGTATGTTGAGACCTTAATGGTGGAGAAGTTTGTTAAACACTTCGTAGTTCAGACAAATGCACTGCAAATCCTCTTTGGCGGGAGTGTAGTTAATTGAGCTTAATTAATGTTTGTGTTGTCTGTTCATGTAGTGTCTGTCACATGCCTTGCCTGGTTCAGTGAGGACAGACCATTTGCTGTTGGCTATTCTGATGGAAAATTGCTCATAGGAACGAAGGAACCAATGGAGAAAGGAGGAGTCGTTCTAATCGATGCCCATAAGGTAATCTCTTTAAAACTAGTGCATAATTTCTCCAGGTAAAGATCTGTTGAAGCTATTTTCTCTATTTGAAAGCTATTTATAAAGTCAAGTGCAGGTTATTTCGAGAACACATACCTATTTATGATACACATATTAAACATAATATATTTTAAAGGAACAGTCTACCAAATGTAAAAAAAAAAAAAGACCAAACCAAAAAGGGAACATAAATTTGGTAGCCTGTATTTCTGTCATGGATGCACATACACTGACAGGAGTGTTAAGCACACAGCTATGCATGACTGGATTTAAAAGCCTAGTTCTTTTAATTGGTACAAGTGCTCATAATAAATACTAATTTTGCTCATATCAAATGTTTTTGTTCAGCTTCTTGTGCAAAGCAAAAGGTGTTTTTCTAAATATGCAGTTGCAAAGGTTGGGAACCTTCTCTTGGCCAGGATGTAATAACAAGACATTAACAGTCCATAAATTATTTGTTAGGCTAAGAGGAGAATTCCTCAAATGTAGGTGTAGTAGGAGCCTCTGGAGTGCTTCCTTGAGGTGGTCTTGGTGTCTGGAGCAGGGTAATCCCAGAAAGGAGGGTAATGGGGTGATAAGCCTGTCCTTGCCTTCTTCCTGTGGGCTGATCTCCTTCTCTACCTCAGTTAGACTCAAAGCTACATCTGACCCATTCCTTAACATGTTTCCAAACCACGTACCAGTAATTTGTACTACAGTTTCATAGTATAAAAAAAAAGAAGGAAACATTGTGTACTTCATCAGGGAAAAAAATCAAGAAAGGTTTGCAGTGAGAACAAAACATCTTTGCATTCCATTTAGTTTCTTTCAGCAAACTTCTTAAGTCTTTTTCATATGATAGTTCTGAAAAATATTATTATTTCATACTTACAACTCACTATCTAACAATTTTTTTGAGAATAAAGTATTTTTGGTATTAATAATTAAAAGTTACATTAGCTCCGGGAGTGAAATTTTCTCTTCTTACCATTACTTCATACCAACTTCTGGGTTTTTTTTCAATCCAACAGGATATGGTTGTTAGCATGAAATGGGATCCAACTGGAAAGATTCTCCTGACATGTGCCAAAGAAGAAACAGTGAAGCTCTGGGGGTACATGGGGGGCTGCTGGAGGCGCCTGCACTCCCTGTCCCACCCCGCCCTGGTGAACGGCGTTGCCTGGTGTGCCCTGCCAGGGAAGGGGCCCAAGCCCCAGCTCCTGTTAGCCACGTATGTCACAGTTTTAGTGTTTCTCTAGTTCTTCTGCAGGTCTGTTCTATCAGTCTGGAGTGTCCAGAGCAAAGAAAAGGGTTTTTTTAAATCACATTCCTTCGATAAACCAGTTGCCGTGAGATTCACAAGGCTTCAGAATTCAAATGTAAAGGGTGACCCTGGTCATGTTACCAACTGTTTTCTCCGTGTCCTAAGACCTGTGTGTACTGGTCCTACTTGAATTTTTTTGCTTCATCCAAATATTTTTTCTAATAATATGTTGTTAGTAAAAATGGAAAAGCTGCAGGGTGTGAGGAATAGGAAAAAATGCATTTATCCATTGGGAATGTGCCTTTCTATTTTCGATTAATTTATACAGTACAGTTTTATAGGAAGGTGGTAAGACTACTGATATTGTAAGTTAATACCAGACCACTGATACTTGGTTAGTTAATACCTTTATTTTTTTTATTATTTCATCTGACTTGCTTTAGGGGATGCCACAATGGCTTGGTGTGTGTCTGGACTGTTCCCCAGGACATAGTGATCACACTGCAGTCCAGCTCAACTTGTTCAGAAGGATGGTGGGAGCAAGAAACAAGTGCCAAGGTAAAAGGAGTTATCTTGGTGTTTAAGAAATTCTCTCTGCTCATTGTGAAATTGAGGGAGGAGAAGAATGTGAGCAAGTTCCTTGAATCTCAGTGTTTCCTGGGAGAAGACAGTTACTAAAAAAGGAATGTCATTTGTCTGTGTCTAGGCATTTTCAGAACAGGAAATGAAAAATCACAAGTTTAAATTTTATTTGGCTAAATTTTATATTTTGATCTGTTTTCAGCCTTCCAAAAGTTGATAAATTTATACTAAAATTTAGTAAGAGTTTCGAGTTTTCTGTAGATAAAAAGAGTTAAGATAAATTTCACCTACATAAGTTGTAATGTGGCCTTTAATTTGTAAAGGGAGGAAAGATGATAATGTGACAAGATATGTATAAAATATTGTCATAGTAATGGGGTTTTTTTTAATTATTTATTGGAGCTTACCCCTGCCTGTGGATGATCAGTGTTTATTGCAGAAGACAGGCACTGTCATGCTGTTCCATTTTCTGTGAGCAGTTCAGTGTTCCATAACTGTGTGATTATTTGCAGGATGGATACAGGAAGGCAGTGGAAGTCAAGTGTGTGTTTCAGCTGAGGGGACACATCACTCCTGTCAGGACTGTTGCATTCAGCCCTGATGGACTGGCCTTGGTGTCTGGGGGCCTCGGGGGCCTCATGAACATTTGGTCTTTACGGGTAAGATCATCTTTGATATGGCTTGATTCTGTTTTTTAGCAGGAATATCTGGAATGGTCAAAGCCTCCCCCTCCCCAGACATGAGTTAGAAATGTTAGAGAAAGCATGGTATAAAATAATGTTATAAAATTGTAAATAATAAAACATAAATTGAAATTATATTAGCATTGAAGTAATTTATATTTATGGTTCTCTTATTGATTAGTTCTGTAGGTCTGGTCATGTTAGTTAGGCTTTGCAGAATCAGCCACTCTTTATGGTTGAAAACAATATTCTCTTATTTCAAGACTTTTTCAAGAGTCAGATAATGTGGACTTCTAAGTCCTTAGTTATCTCCTTATTGTGATAAAAATTCTAGATTTTTTTTGCTAGTAGGGTAAGTATTTCACTCTTTGCATAGCTGTTGAACAGCTTGGGAGGATATCATGCCTCAGAGGTGTGATGGTATGCACTGAACCAGAACTGATCTGTGTGCACACTGACTGCAGCCCCCTCTCTCCTCAGGATGGCTCAGTGTTGCAGAGTGTTGTGATAGGCTCTGGAGCAATCCAGACTGCAGTGTGGATACCTGAGGTTGGAGTAGCTGCCTGTTCCAACAGATCAAAGGTGACACTGTCTTAAAGTAACATTCTTTCACACTTCTTACTAAAAATGCTGTTTGTCTGTGTTTGCTTTCTTTTCTTCACCCCCCCCTTTTTTTTTTTTCTCTAGAAATATCTATCTAACACTCTCATATTTTCCAGACGTGTTGTTTTGGCTTTCAACTTTCATTTCACTCTGAAAAGACTGGGCTTTTTTGTTTGTATCCTGTGTTTAATGTGGTGGGGCAGGGTGGAATCCTTCTAGAAGAACTCGTAGTTACAAAGATGCTGCACGTGGGTTATATCAGCCCCTCTGTTTCATGGAAGCAGATGTAAATGAACAATTTACAGAAGACAGATTTATTTCTTTTATTCCTTTATGCAGCATGAAGAAATGTTTCATTTCCCCAACAAATAAGATAATTTAGTGATCTAAATTAATCTAAAGCAACCTCAGAAGTTTTTAAGAAACAGCAGAATTTACTTCAGTGTTTGCTGTGTCAGGAACTTGTGGCATCTGAACAGAAGTTTTAAAACAGCTGATTATTCCAAAAGGTGGTATTCTTGTGAATAAATACGGCACGAGTTATGACTCCTGTTAGCAGAGTCATACTCTGTGTGGGTCTAAGTATTTTATGGTTCTTTGAAAGTCTCTTCTGAACTCAATAAAGGTCATATTACAGGGCCAATCCTAAACTAAGGTTGCCTCTAAACTGAATCTTAACTTAAGGGTACAGCATTCACTGAAAGGAACTCTGCCTGTCACCATGTTTGTATTGTTCCTTGGAGTGATAATGGCAGCGTTGCCATGGCAATGTGAGGAAGTGGCAGATGGAGGTGGCTACTCCATAGCAGATTATTCCCCAACAGAGACAGGAATGTTTGAACCTTTGTGTTTTCTGGCCCCTATGGAAATTAAGACGGTTGGCAATAAATCAGTGGAGCTGCTTTGTGATTTTTTTTTTTTAATTTCTGGTGTGTCCCGTGCCTGCTGTTACACAGGATGTGTTGGTGGTGAACTGTACCTCCGAGTGGATATCTGCCAACCACGTCCTGGCCACGTGCAGGACTGCTCTGAAGCAGCAGGGAGTGCTGGGGCTGAACATGGCTCCCTGCATGAGAGCCTTCCTGGAGCGGCTGCCCATCATGCTGCAGGAGCAGTATGCCTATGAGAAGGTGAGAGGAGCTGATGCCAGCATTTCAGATGCATATCTGGCATGAGGTCACTGTTTGAATCTCAGCTGATTCCAGTTTTTCACCACAGAGAACCCACCAGGCTTTCCTACATCCCATTTGTAAATATCCTTCAGTCTCCTCAAAGCTAGCGGTCACCTACTTTGAAAAATATTGAAAATATTAGGAAAACTCTGACTTAAGCAGGGAGGAAAGTATTTTCTACAGGCCTAACTTTGAAGGACTCCTATTTCTGAGCTGATTACCATGTGTTTCCTCCCTCTCCCTCTGCCCTGCCTGTAGCCCCACGTTGTGTGTGGAGACCAGCTGGTGCACAGCCCCTACATGCAGTGCTTGGCCTCGCTGGCCGTGGGCCTTCACCTGGACCAGCTGCTGTGCAACCCCCCCGTGCCTCCCCACCACCAGAGCTGCCTCCCCGACCCCTCGGCCTGGAACCCCACCGAGTGGGCCTGGCTCGAGTGTTTCTCTACCACCATCAAAGCTGCAGAAGCCCTGGCCAAGGGAGCACAGTTCCCAGAATCCTTCACTGTCCCAGACCTGGAGCCTGTTCCAGAGGATGAGCTCACTCTCCTGATGGTAAAATTTGATGTTTTCTCTCAGCAGCAAAGCGTGTCATACAATCCACATCTCTGTACTATAAAGATTTATATTTATTAATATAAGCATCAACAATAAGTGTAAGTTTATTTTTTAATTCACTGGCTACGATGTACTGTTAAGATTGCTCTGTGTGTGTGTGTGTGTAATGAGCACAAGTCAGCAGCATATTAAAAAACCAAATTAAAACAACCCAATACTGTGACAGTAGTTTTCATAAGTGGTAGAAGCAAGAAATGTAGAGCTTTGCAATGCTATTTTAAGGGTAACTTTGGCACATTCCTACACCATATTATTTTGCTAGTGTCAATTTGCTTTTTGACTTCTTATGATATGTAAACCAAAATGGAAATTTTTGATTAAGAATTTTTTATCAGCAAGGTGTTTGCAATTGAATTGTTTTAAGCCAGTGTTTCCAACTGAAACTTGTAAAAGCCTTAAGCATCAGTAAATAGAAGGAGATTACTTCATAGTGAATTTTGTTTGTTTTGCTTTTTTTCATTTGGATTGCAGGACACAGATAAGTGTCATTGCTGCTGTGCACACATCCATTCTTATTGCTGTATCATTTAGAATAATTTGAATATTGTTCTCAGAAAGGAAAATGTGTCCATAACAGTAAAATAATGTGCATCTCTTGAGCTGAATGTGGTAACTGTGGCTTTTGCTGTGTAGGATAACAGTAAATGGATCAATGGCATGGATGAGCAGATCATGTCTTGGGCAACATCAAGGCCAGAGGTTAGTGAAACCGTTGGTTTGGGGTGTTCTGGAGGATTTTTCTCTCTTTTGGAACATTGTAGGCTGTTGAAAGTACTCTTGTTCTCAAACCTTCTCTCCTGCTCTTCCCTAGGATTGGCACTTGGGAGGGAAGTGTGATGTGTACCTGTGGGGAGCAGGCAGGCATGGACAGCTGGCAGAGGCTGGGAGGAATGTCATGATACCAGTGGCAGCACCTTCATTCTCTCAGGCTCAGCAGGTGATCCCTCGAAACCAGTCATGATCTAAGGATTTACCATCTATTATTTGTACAGCTTGTCAAAGTCTCTCTCTAAATATCTTTTCAATTTGTTCTTTGAATTTACTCCAAGTACCCCAAAACATGTGTTTTTACTGAAGAGGAACTCTTCAATTATTTGACAAATTCATACCAAGAAGCTAATGAAATCTGACAACACAGCATGATTTGAATTATTTTATATGATTTGAAAATACCTGCCCAGCTTTAACATAAAACATGTGGCAGTTTTGCTTTCTGAAATAACATCGACTTGATATAATATTGTCTTGACATAATTACAAAGAACACCAGTTAAAAGGAGATGGTGCATTGTAATGCAGGTATTACAGCTTTGCTGCATTTGACATATGTTAAAATTCTTTCCTGTCTTTCTAAACCAGGTGGTTTGTGGTCAGAATTGTACCTTTGTCATTCAAGCTAATGGCACCGTTTTGGCTTGTGGGGAAGGGAGTTATGGGCGACTGGGGCAAGGAAACTCTGATGATCTTCACGTCTTAACAGTCATTTCAGCACTGCAAGGTAATGCTGCTGGGTTTGAAAGGAATCGTTGAGAGAGCTCAAATGAGCATTTTGGTAGTTAGTATAATTGTGTTGATGCTCCTTTTGCAGATTTAGACATTAAATATTGTAGCGTTTAGTTAAAAAACACTGAAAAAAACCTCTAGATATAAATGTTTCCTTCATGTTTGAGTAGTAATATGTTTAAATTCCTTAATTTTAAGAAGTCTTCAGGGAAAAGTCTTTGCTCAGGTTAGGAACATTTAATTTCAAAGCTAATGGCAGGACAGGAGCATAAATTGTACGTGAGAAAATGAAGGTTTTGTTCAAAAGAAAAGTAAATTAATTGCTATAACAAGGAAACTGTTCCTGTGGTTTGTTCTTTTCCCAGACTTAATTGGCTGCCATTAGGCACACTTGTACGTGAAGAGTTTGTTGTAAGTTATTCTGACCTTTTGGTTTCTCATTTTTCTCCAACAGGCTTCGTTGTAACGCAGCTGGTGACCTCTTGTGGGTCTGATGGGCATTCCATGGCTCTGACAGAAAGTGGGGAAGTCTTCAGCTGGGGAGATGGAGACTACGGCAAACTGGGCCACGGGAACAGCGACCGGCAGCGCAGGCCTCGGCAGATCGAGGCCCTGCAAGGAGAAGAAGTGGTGCAGGTCCCAAAATATTCTGTGTCTCCTTCCAACTGCAGGGCTGGTAACCCAGTGCTGTGTCCTCTGGGTGAAAACAGGCAACTCCTGCCTTCTCTGGGCTTTCTGGACCAAGTTGGTGATGTCCAGTTGAAGGATGTTCATACCACAGAGCCTGGTGTTGATGTGGGATGTTGATGGACAGTTGGTACTGGAGAAAGCTAAAAATCAGAGCATGGAAGAGGGGGGTGATCTAAAGATTATCAAATTACAGACATGATTTACAGGCTTCCCTTCGTCTTTGTCAGGTGACTTTGACCTACAAATCTGGTCACCAAGGCCTGACAGTGCCATATTTGGCTTTGACTGGAGGTTTCTTTATAAAAATACAAGATAATCACACAGCAAAATTCTTCATGCAAATATCCTCTGGTCCTCCTCCATAACATTACCATTGAAAAGAATAAGAGATGGATTGCTGGAGAAATCATTAATACTAAAATGTCTGTATTTTAGCTCTTTAAAAGTGAATATAACTTAGGGGAGGAAAAGATATTACATATATACATATAATAACCAATATAATCTTCTGTCCAAATTTAAAATGTGTTGTAAAAATGATGTTTATTTTGCTTCCAGATGTCATGTGGCTTCAAACACTCAGCTGTGGTGACAGCAGATGGCAAACTCTTTACCTTTGGAAATGGTGATTATGGTCGATTAGGACTTGGCAACACTTCCAATAAGAAACTTCCAGAACGAGTGACGGCGCTGGAAGGTTACCAGATTGGACAGGCATGGTTTACCTAAAACTAGCCCTGGATCTGTGTTTAAAGCTGATGTTTGTAATGTATTTACGTGTTCAGTTGTGGCTTTTTAACCTTGGCTTTTATTTTGGTTATGATGGCAATATTTGACTATGCGTGATTTTTTTTAATAATTACTTTCCTGACTCTCTTGATCCTATTTTTGTAAAACTGCCCTTGTTTTTTAACATTTTAACATTTCAAGATTGAGGCAATTTTAAGCATGAATCAATGAGCTGCTTTATATTTTTAAACAGGGAATATGTGTAGCATAATACTGTCCTTTGGCTCTATGTGCTGAGAGGAACAAAAGAAAATACTACTGTGTTCTAAATGTCTTTAAAACACTCTAATAACCAATGGAATTTTTAATGGTTTTACATAGATACTTAATTTTTAAACACTGTTTTTCTTCTAAAAGGTAGTTGGAGTGTTTGAGTTAGTAGTAAGTTACCAAAAATGGTGGTAATAACATATTTCTCTCCCTCAGGTGGCCTGTGGCCTCAATCACACTGTAGCTGTGTCAACAGATGGCTCAATGGTCTGGGCTTTTGGAGATGGAGATTATGGGAAACTTGGTCTGGGAAATTCCACTGCAAAGTCCTCACCACAGGTTAGAATCCACGGGGAAGTTATTCTGGCCATAGATTTTCAGTGTTGTTCAACGTGTTGTACAGTAATTTTCAGAAGGTAAATTATTAATTCCACGCTGTTGTAACACAGTCTGGCTCAAGTAATTCTAGTGACACATTATGCTGAGCCTGGTACTCTAAAGAGCTTCACATAAATTATAGTGACCTTATCTCAGTAGCAATACAAATTGCAAAAATCTGAGGTTTCTCTTAGAGAAGAGAAATTTCTTGTTTTGGAAATCGGGGGGAAGGTTGTTTACACACTCACCTACTTCATCCAGTGTCATTCCCAGTAAAAAAAAGATGTTTTGAATCATTGTACACAGAATAAGATGATAATTCTGTTAAAGAAAAACTCTGTTTCTGTTTTCTGTATTAATTTCCAAGTGTTAAGTAATATAATCCAACAATGTATGCAGTGCACAGGGGGAATTAAAAAAAAATTTCTTTTTTTGGAACCAGGAGTTTCAGATTAAATTCATGTTTGCTTTCTGTTTATACTCTTGTAATTCTATACCTTGTTTTCCTTTCACTTTACCCCTTAGAAAGTGGATATTCTTTGTGGAATTGGAATAAAAAAAGTTGCCTGTGGAACTCAGTTCTCTGTTGCACTGACTAAAGATGGTCATGTATATACTTTTGGACAAGGTAAGAGAATCTGTTCTTTGGACATTTCTATCTATCTACAGCCTTGTGTGTATTGCAAGTGAAAAGGAAGACTATTAAGACACATTTCTAGGACTGACCTAATGATGTTTTTTAGAAATGTGTTGACCTAATCTGAATTTTGGAACTTCAGCAACGTCATTTTAATGTACACCTAAAATCCAGATTTGTAGCTCTGTGTAGTTTGATCTCAGGACAACCTTTCAGGTCTGGGGTTTTTTTTTCAGTAATTCCCTTTTTGAAGAGGATTTCCCTAAAATTTCATTGAATTCCACACATCCAAGGACATTGGGTTACTTCAAAGTTTACACAGTCTAATAAAGCATGTGCCTACATATTTAAACATCTGGACAGGAGAATTTCCATGAGCACAGAATTAAACAATAAATTCAAGCAAATAACAGTAAACTTCCTAAGTCAGTTAATTCATCTGTATTTTAAAACTGTACATTTAGGCCTGGAAGTCTTGGTTTGGTAGAATTTGCTCTTGTTTGAGCCTTCAGCAATATTCCGAGGGCCGTGGGAAGCACCAGTTTGTAGGAAGCATCCCCCGCCTTTCTCCCTGACTGCAGTGGTGTCCCAGTTCCAGGACTGTATGGAGCTGCTTTCTGTCCCTCCCTGACTCCTCCCTTTCCGTGCCCCTGGCTCCAGAGGTGTGTTCCCATTCCAGATCGCCTCATCGGTTTGCCCGAGGGCCGTGCCCGGAACCACAACCGGCCCCAGCAGGTGCCGGTGCTGTCGGGGATCTTCATCGAGGACATCGCGGTGGGGGCAGAGCACACCCTGGCCCTGTCCTCCACGGGGGATGTCTATGCCTGGGGCAGCAATTCCGAGGGGCAGGTATGTGCTCTTTTATTCTCCTGACCTTCGTAAGGCTGTCGTTGTGCTTCACAGATGGATTTGGAATATTGATCCTAATGACTCCTCCTGCAATTTCCATTATTTGCCTGTTTATTCCCTGTAGCACTTTGGGGAAGCACTCAAAACATTCTAGGCAAATTATCCTAATCCAAGCTTTTTTAAAAATTCATAAATTTTTACCTAATTCTTGAGCTATCACCAGTTTTTTCAACATAATAAAAATTATGGTTGGTGTCAATCAGATTTGTGAACTCTTTAGGTGCTTTTCATAGTGAAAATATAAATTAACCTTTTTAAAGGAGTGATTTTTTTTTTAAAGTCAGAAAAAAATGTAATAAATGATAAATTCTCCCTCACCACATGTTCAACTCAAATTTTTTGAAAGGACTTCAGCTTTTTGACACTTCTACATGCTACAAGTATCAGAGTGAGCCTCTTCATATAGCAGGTGATGGTGTTTCAGGAAGTTTGGGCAAATTCATCCTGTGGTGTTTTAGGACTGAGTTTTTGAGAAGGCTTGTTGGGCAAGTTTTTTAGAATAATTTCTCTGAGTTGTTTTTTTTTTTTTTATTGCTTTTGGTTTGTTGATTTTTTTGGGTTTTTTTAATATGATACTTTGTGGTTTTGTGAGGGAAGAAATTGTTAGGGTAAAAAATGTAAATAAATTGATTCTGAAAGCTGTTTTATATGATTTTTGGTTCAAAATACTGGTTTTATACAAACCAGTATTTTGGTAAAAAAATATACACTCTTGCAATATGAAATTTTTAACCTATGGAATATGAAATTAGAATATGATGTGAAACTCGGTAAAAAATCAGAACAGCTTCAGTAAATTCTCTTTTTGCACAAATTGTGTTTTCATAAACTATTGTAGCAATTTACATGCTGGAACAAAAATGGTATTTAAATGGCACAGAGGAGATGTAGAAGATGAGTTGTCTGTGCATGAGAGACTGTGCAGTACAGACAACTTAGCAGCATAGGGTAGTTCCTCAGTCTGGAAAAGATCTTCAAGAAGTCTCCAGCTGTTTTTGAGTCTCTTTGACACATAGATCTGCTACTCCAGTCGGGTACAGATGCAATATTTTATCAAAAGTAAAAGAGATAGATATAGATATATGGATATGGATATATGGATATGGATATATGGATATGGATATATGGATATGGATATATGGATATGGATATATGGATATGGATATATGGATATGGATATATGGATATGGATATATGGCTATATAGATATGGCTATATAGATATGGCTATATAGATATGGCTATATAGAGAGAGTACATTTTTTTAATCCCAGTATATGCTGTAGATAAATATAATTTTTTACCATTTGCTCTGAATTTTTGCTTAGAGAGTTTTAGAAGCACCGTGACAGCTGTTGATTGTTCTTTGTCCCTTTTCTATCTGTTCCCAATGGTCAGCTTGGCCTGGGCCACACCAACCACGTGCGGGAGCCCACCCTGGTCACGGTCCTGCAGGGGAAGAACGTCCGGCAGATCTCGGCCGGGCGCTGCCACAGCGCGGCCTGGACGGCCCCCCCTGTGCCCCCACGAGCTCCGGGTGAGCAACCGGCAGCAGGACAAGAGGGCTGGGGCTTCAGCTGTGCCAGGGGAGGTTTGGGTTGGATATTGGGAAGAAATTCTTCACAGAGAGAGTGCTCAGCCATTGGAACGGGCTGCCCAGGGAGGGGGTGGATTCTCCATCCTTGGAGGTGTTTAAGGTGAGACTGGATGTGGCATCAGTGCCATGGGCTGGGAACCACAGCAGGGTTGGACTTGATGATCTCAGAGGTCCTTTCCAACCCAGCTGATTCTATGGTTCTAACTGAGGTTTTATGGCCATTTGTTTTAGTCCTGCCAGGTGTTCCTGAGCTATGAGTGCAACAAGAATTCTGAACATTTGAGACAAAATTTGTTTAGTTTTATATCCATGCAGCGTTTCCTGTTATCTTGGTCTTAATTTGGCTGCTGTCGTGGTTTAACCCCAGTAGGCAGCTAAGCTGCTGTGGGTAAAATCAACTCCATCCCAGCCAAAAGCAAACCAGCTCCCCTTTATCAAACACTGCTTTGTTTCTCTTCCTGTGATAGGTGTTTCAGTGCCTTTGCAGCTCGGTTTACCTGATGCCATCCCACCACAGTACGGGGCACTGAAGGAAGTGAGCATTCATACAGTGAGGGCAAGGCTGAGACTGCTGTACCATTTTTCTGACCTCATGTACTCTTCGTGGAGATTACTTAACCTCAGTCCTAATAACCAGGTAAAATTCCTTTGGAAAAAACTGTCTTGGCTCTATTGTGTTATGCCATGTTGCTAGAGAGTTTCTGGCCAGGTTGAGATGGATCTTTGTGAAAAAAATTTAAAAAAAATATAATTCTGGATTAAACCAAACTTTGTCAAGGTATTGTTCTATATTTTCACTTACACTAGCACTGACGTGTCAGTGTTTCAGTTTCCAAGAGCTTTTTAACTTTAAAACCAGAAAGCACTAACCTGTTTCCTGAAGCACTGGAGTGCCAGTGATTGCTCTGAAGGGTTTTATTGTGGGAAGAATGGAATTAATAGCCTTTATTGACATGTTTATTCTGGTGCTGCTTTATTTCAGAACAGTACATCTCATTACAATGCTGGAACGTGGGGAATAGTGCAGGGCCAGCTGAGGCCCTTGCTGGCACCCCGGGTGTACACCCTGCCCATGGTGCGCTCCATAGGGAAAACCATGGTGCAGGGCAAGAACTACGGGCCCCAGATCACTGTGAAGAGGATCTCAACCAGGTCAGTGCTGCTTCCACAGACCCTGTGTCATGCTGGTGTTCACCCATCTCCTGATCTTTGGGCGTTCTGAGCTCTCTGTCCAGCTTTGTTAGGGCAGTGATTCCGTAGCCCTTACATTTGAGTTACGTTGTCTGGCTGTGTTTCTCCCCACAGAGGTCGGAAGTGCAAGCCCATCTTTGTCCAGATAGCAAGGCAGGTGGTGAAGCTGAACGCCTCAGACCTTCGCCTGCCCTCCCGGGCCTGGAAGGTGAAACTGGTTGGAGAAGGAGCTGATGATGCAGGTGGAGTGTTTGATGACACTATTACAGAAATGTGTCAGGTACGTCTAGGAACTCAAAACGCCTGGGGAGAGGTTTTGTTCTCTCTTACAGTATTTTTCAAATTTTCCTCTTTGCGGCATAGCAAGTACTTGTTCTTCAGTGCTGAGCCACGGCACTAGGGCTACCTGCTTAGGGGTGTCTCTGAGGATAAAGAAATCTTCCTAGATTGTGTCAAGGAGATGCTATAAGGCCACACTATAACTAGTGTTACATTAGGCTGCTTGGAATTCTGAGATGGCCCCTACACGTTACAGGAGCATTTTGCAGCCTCCCATTCTGTCCAGCCAGGACCTTCTTCAAGAAGCTGTGCTGTGTTCCATGCCTGCAGCACATTCCATGCCTGCAGTGCAGAAACACCTCAGGCAGGTGCTTCTCACATACCTGAAGACATTTTCACCTCTCAGATTCAGTCCTGGAAAGACCATCAGTAGCAGGAAGTGCCTGGGTTTGCCTGTCTGTGACCAGGATACTGTGGCCATTTCAGTCCTTTCAGATTCCCCAGGAACTAACTGAAGGCTCCAGGCTGCAGGACTAAGACAAAGCTCATGTGTTCTGCCTCTAGTTTTAAGGATGTCTCAGTCCCCTGTGACACAGCTCTGATTGTAGCCAGGAGAAGGATTCAGGGCAATGCTGGCTGCAGAAGTTTGGTTGTTCCTTAATCTTCCAAAGCCTCAAAATACAAAGAATGAGGATTTGGGAGGTTAATGAATCTGTCTGCTTAGTCTGGGATGGGACAAGAGCTATGGGTAGTGCTGGAGCTGGCACTGGAGTCAGAGTTAGGATACAGGATGGAAAAACTGAAGGACTCCATTTATTAGTGAATTTTCTGGAGCCTGTAAGACTAGAGTAGGGTTGATTCGGGTAAGGGCTTGAGGCGTAGTTTTTGGGTTCTTTCCTGGACAGTTTACATTCAATCTGAGGTGTGATGAGGGTTCAGAACAAAACTGAACATTTTTTTGGATCTTGGAAAAGCTGCACCAGTAGGAAAAAGAGGTTATGGCTTCTGATTATTTTGGAAACAGGCACCAGGAATGTATCACAGAGCAGCCACAGGAAAATAACAATTATAGGCTGACATAAGGGCAGGTTTTGGGGGGAAAAAATGCTTTTATTACTTACAGTCATCCTCTGATGTTTACTTTCTCTTCAGTGTTTTGTATTAATTTGTAAAGAGTAATCATCACTATAGTGGAATATTCTGTCATGTAATGCTATAATGTCTTAATAATTATGACATAGGTTTGTTATCCCTGTGTCTAAGAAGGCTTTTTTGTTGTTGATTTTTAAGGAACTGGAAACTGGAATCGTAGACCTGCTCATTCCTTCCCCAAATGCTACAGCTGAAGTAGGCTACAACAGGGATAGGTGAGTTGTGCAGGACTTGATTTATTGCAGATGGTAGGGGTTGAAAATCCAAATCTAGTAACTGTTTTATACCAAATGATGAGGCTTCATGACTGTCTCTAGTATATTTTTTCCTTCAGGTTGTAATGTTACTCTATTATGGAGGAGAGGGCATGGTTTGAACATGAACTTGCCGGATTACTGATGGCAGAGTTCAGAGTAACATCAGGAATGGCAGCCCTTGTGTCAGGAGTGCTGCCTTCCTCAGCCTCAGGGTCTTAACAGCTAGAGAAAACAGTAATGGTCTTGTTTGGCCACCCCTTGGCGACAAGTGTGTGGGCAGTTTGCTCTTTTACGTCTAATGAAGTAGCATAGAAATGATACAGTGTTTTCACTGATTCTTTGTTGTTCCAGGTTTCTCTTTAACCCTTCAGCATGTTTAGATGAACACCTGATGCAGTTCAAGTTCCTGGGCATTCTCATGGGTGTGGCTATTCGTACAAAAAAGCCATTAGATCTTCATTTGGCTCCAATGGTCTGGAAGCAACTTTGTTGTATCCCACTCATCTTGGAGGATTTGGAGGAGGTAGATCTGCTCTATGTGCAGACCCTCAACAGCATTCTTCACATTGAAGACAGTGGGATTACTGAAGAAAATTTCCATGAGGTAAGATGGGAAAGTTGAAGCTTTCAGGTTTATTCTGGAAGTGATTGCTTTGTCAGATTGACCTTCACTTCAGTATTTATATCATTTCAGTCTCCATTCTTGGCATAACAAGCACTTTGTGTGCATTTAGAATAGTTTGTGATATATAGTTCTAGGTGACTTAGGGTAAAAAGTTAAACTTGTATCACTTACACTCAACATGCTTTTCCTGTTTTGCATCACAGATGATTCCTTTAGATTCTTTTGTTGGCCAAAGTGCTGATGGAAAAATGGTTCCCATAATCCCTGGAGGGAACAGTATCCCACTTACCTTTTCAAACAGGAAAGAGTATGTGGAGAGGGCAATAGAGTACAGACTCCATGAGATGGACCGTCAGGTAAGACTCCTTGGGACCCATCCCTGTTGGGAGTGGGAACAGGGGGTGATTTATCCCAGTTTCCATTACAGTTTGTGGTAAGAAAAGTTTAGTTTTCTGTACCTTGACTGTGTTCCCGTGGCTTTTCTTCCCCCACAAATTGTTTTGGGGTTTTCTTTTAGATTAGTCCTGTTTTTCTCAGTAATTGCTCAGTTGGCAGAAGAGCATTAGAAATCAGAGCTTGTCTACACTAGAGTAGCCCCACTGCAACCACTTGAGAAAAGAATTTTGCATTTTTGCATGCAATTTTGCATGCTGGGCACTGTAACTGGGCATTTTAACAACACAGAGGCTATCTAAAGTAAATATTATTGACAAACATAAACAAACATATTGTTTAATTTGAGACTGTTTCTCTTCTGCTATAACACAAAACCTGCAAATATTCCATGATATGTTTTGGGAAGTGCTTGTTACCTGTTTGCCATTTGATCAGTGAACCTTGTGAAAGCAGTGTGCTAATTACAAGGTAGAGATGCACGTGTGGTATTGTGTGTGTTGGAGAAGCAGCTTTCTCATCAGAGGTACCAAATCCTAAGTCTTGTAGAACGAGAACATTCTCACCATACACCTGAGGTGGAACAAAGTGTTATTTGTGTTTACACAGTTCCTTGGGTTAGCCATCGTCATTTGTGCTGCCAACTTGTACTTTGAGCAGTTCTGTTTAGTATCAAAACATGTTTTTAAATGTACAATTACAATTTAAAATATCTGTGATGTTCTGGATTTTGAGAAGCAATCCAGCCCTTGCAGGGGGTGCACGTGTGGGAGGCAGATGTTCTGTAATTCTGTCTCTCTATCCCATTTCTCAGCTGAGAAGTTATTTCTGGTTTTGGATGGTACAGAAGTGGTGGAGGTGAGACAATTGCACTTCAGATGTCTCTTCTGGTTTTGGCCAACAGGTGGCTGCTGTCAGGGAGGGAATGTCCTGGATTGTTCCCGTTCCTTTGCTGTCCCTTCTGACTGCCAAGCAGTTGGAGCAAATGGTCTGTGGAATGCCAGAAATCTCCGTTGAAGTTCTGAAGAAAGTTGTGCGATACAGGGAGGTGGATGAGCAGCATCAGCTGGTGCAGTGGTTCTGGCACACCCTGGAGGAGTTTTCCAATGAGGAGAGAGTCCTTTTCATGAGGTTTGTGTCAGGAAGATCTCGACTGCCAGCCAACACAGCTGATATCTCTCAGCGATTCCAAATAATGAAGGTTGATAGGGTAAGTTGCTGGGTTTATTTGGCTTTTTTGTAATTAATATTATTTTCTTATTCATCTCTATTATGGTCTGTCCTTTGCCAGTAGGAGACAGTTTCCATTGTTCTAAATTTACAGGAAAAGTATGGGATGGGACATGCTCTGAGTTAAGCCCAGACATTTTTATTGTGCAGAAGGACATAAGCTGCGTGAATTGCTTCTTAATTAATGTGGTGCAATCAGTGATTAAAGGTCAAGACAAGTTCTTGCACTACAAACAAACCTTGTTCTATTGTAACTTGCCCACAGCGCTTTTCTGTTCCAATCTCCTTTTTTGATTTGGTAATTTTCATTCTGGTTTTAAGTGTTAATTTTGTCTGAGTGGCAACATACGACCAGTAGTGAACTATAACGTTTTTAAACCACTGCAGTGAGTTTACAGTGTTATTTCACATACAGCATGCATTCATTTGGCATTGTTTTGGGGCTTTGTGCAGTGAAAGCATGTTGTCTGTGAACAACATGAATCAAAAACGTGACAAAATCAAAGATGACAGTGGCTTGTCTGCCATCTTTGGTCAGGTGTCTCTTGTGTTGAGAGACACTGTTTTGGAATTGAATGTTGCTTGGTACAGAGGGCTGAGGAGTGGGATCAGCTGTTCAAATAACTGAGTTTCATCAGTGAGTTATTTACAAAGTAGGTGACACAGCAGTAGTTTTGCACATACTTAAGGATGAAACAAATGCTGTAAACGAGAGGCCAGTCCGTTTCCTAAAAGGAACTTGGGGCTAGAATAATATCTTTATTGATGATCTGCATGAGGGGATTGCGTGTACCATCAGCAAATTTGCAGATGACACTAAGTTGGGGGGGAGTGTTGATCAGCTGGAGGGCAGGAGGGCTCTGCAGAGGGGCCTGGACAGGCTGGAGAGTTGGGCTGATTCCAGTGGGATGAGGTTCAACCAGGCCAAGTGCCGGGTCCTGCCCTTTGGCCACAAGAAGCCCCGGCAGCCCCACAGGCTGGGGACAGAGTGGCTGGAGAGCAGCCAGGCAGAGAGGGAGCTGGGAATTTGGATTGACAGGAAGCTGAACAGGAGCCAGAGTGTGCCCAGGTGGCCAAGAAAGCCAATGGATCCTGGCCTGGCTCAGGAACAGTGTGGCAGCAGGAGCAGGGAAATGATTCTGCCCCTGGACTCAGCGCTGGGGAGGTCACCCCTGGAGTGCTGTGTCCAGTTCTGGGCCCTCAGCTCAGGAAGGACATGGAGGGGCTGGAGCAGGTGCAGAGAAGAGCAACAAGACTGGGGAAGGGACTGGAGCACAAGTGCTGTGAGGAGAGGCTGAGGGAGCTGGGGCTGTTCAGCCTGGAGAAGAGGAGGCTCCTCACTCTCTACAACTCCCTGCCAGGAGGTTGTAGCCAGGTGGGGGTTGGTCTCTTCTCCCAGGAAGCAGCAGTAGGACAAGAGGGCACAGTGTTGAGCTGTGCCGGGGAGGTTTAGGTTGGATATTAGAAATTTTTTACAGAGAGAGTGATCGGCCACTGGAATGGGCTGCCCAGGGAGGGGGTGGATTCTCTGTCCCTGGAGGTGTTTAAGGTGAGACTGGATGTGGCATCAGTGCCATGGGCTGGGAACCACGGCGGGGTTGGATCAAGGGTTGGACTGGGTGATCTCAGAGGCCTCTTCCAAGCCGGTCGATTCTGTGATTCTGTGCACGGAGAAAGCTGACCGGCAGGGAAGGGAAGGGAAGGAGCAGTGAAATATGTCTGCACTGGATGTTTTCCTTGATTCCCAGCTCACCAGTGTCCCCCCTTGTCTCCTCCCCCAGCCTTACGACAGCTTGCCTACCTCACAGACTTGTTTCTTTCAACTGCGGCTGCCGCCGTACTCCAGCCAGCTGGTGATGGCCGAGCGCCTGCGCTATGCAATCAACAACTGCCGCTCCATAGACATGGACAATTACATGCTCTCCCGGAACGTGGACAATGCCGAGGGCTCCGACACGGATTACTGACACTCTGTGAACAAAATCACCTTCCTTTTCCTACAAATAGTGCCCTAAGTCCAATTCATCGTTGACATAATTTTACGGTAACCATAGATGTTTTAGGAGCATAAAAAAAAAAAAAACAAACCAGATGTTAATAGGTGGTGGCCACATTTTAGTTACTCTAAATGTAACAAAAAAAAAAATTAGATGTTTTTATTTTTTTGTGATTGTACAAAAGAAAAAAGGAAAAACAAAACAAAAAAGTCCGATGGGTAAGTTTTTTCTCCTTTTTTGGTCACTTTTGATAAGTTTGCATGGAGACATTTTGGTGCATTTTTGTTGGGAATAGTACATTTGTAAGCCCTCCAAGTGAACATGAAGAGTTGTACATTGTGTATAATTGTTCATTAGCCAGGACTGTTTTACATGAATATTCACATATTTATTTTGTTTTAATTTGAATTGCCTGTGCAGGGTTCCTTATGCAGAGAAAAATAAAGCAAATTCAAGGATCGGTGGCTTGTTATGCATTTGTGAATGGGGATTGGTTGTCTCAGTCTTCATATTTTTTATATTTTGTCTCAGGAAGTCATAGTGTTACAGTGTTCAGGCAGGGTTTGACATTTGAAGCACCTTAAAATGTTTCTCTTCACTGACTGTGTTGTGTAGCCCTGCTTTGCTTTCCCAGTGTCCGAGGGGCTGTTCTGTTTGGGTGTTGATCCTCCTACTGCAATACAAGTCCATCTTGTGCTTGGTTCCTTCTTGCTTTTCCTTTAAACATTTTGCTCCTCCAGAGGAGTTGTTGGCAGTAGCAATGTGCTGCCGCCTGCACTCAGAAACCTTTGAATCTTTTGGCAAAAAAATGTTTTTTAATGTACAGATGGACAGAGTTGGTTCCTGAGTACAGAAAACTGACAGTGGAGGTGACAGGGCAGTAGTTGAGGCTGTGGGTTTATGCACATTCTTGGCTCTGCCTTTACTCTCCTTTTGCTGCAGCTGTACCTGTTATGATCAGCATGGTTTGGGTCCCACTGGAGTTCCATCCTGGGTTAGGACAGAAATGAGCTGCACAGGAACCTCTGCTCCGTGTCTTAGGGGAGTGCTGGGCAATGGATAATTTCCAGTGTAGAAAAGACCTTGTTTGTGTCAAACCAGAAATGCTGCTTGGTGTTGAGGAGCAGGAGGGACCTGGAGAGTGTCCCCAGGTGAGTCAGGGCTGCTCTGCCCCCATTCCCCCCATCCTCATCCTCTCTGAGCTCCTGGGGAAGGTGCTGTGGGGCCTGAGGGCAGGTGAGAGTGTTTATCAGTGTCACCTCACCTGGGACAGGAGTGGTCCATCTGAGCCTAGAGCACAGGCAGAAATTCCTGTTGTTTTTCTTCACGTGTTCACTGTGTGTTCACAAGGATGACTTGGGAAATTCCTGGCTGTCCGAGACTGAACTGGTTGTTGCTGCCAGCTCAGAGTGCTCAAAGCTTGATAAGCCGTGGGACTGTGCAGGTCTGGGGTTTACTGGTGACATTCTCTAAGTCAGGACTAGTTGCTGGCTCCTGGAGAAGGCACAAGGTTTGTAGCTGTGACCTCCACACTGCAGGGGGGGTCAGCAGTCTAAGGGGAAGGGGGGACTCAGGGCCCTGAAATCAAGCAGACCTTGTTTCCTGCCCCCTTGTGTGTTCTGGTTCCAAACTGGACTGAGTTCTTGGTGTTGTGGGGGAGTATATGCACATTGTGGTCTAGATTTATGGGTGTAATACCTAAAAACTACAGTATTACAAATAAAAGGGGAGACTGCTGTATTAAGTCCTGTATTATTGCCTGCTGGACTTCACTGATGTGTCTTAGTGCTACTGAGTTGTCAGCCTGTTTTAATCAGGCAAAGGAAATAATAGAGCTGTGCCTAAAAATTGCAGTTTTATATGGACTGTGCAATTGGCTTCTTGGATAATGAGGGTATTTTTGGAGGCAGTTTACACTGAAATGAAAGAGAATGTTGATATTGGTAAATATTGATGTTGATTAAAGGATTGTGTTTGATGGAACTGTAATGGCTTGGAGCTAAAGAAAACCACAGGCCTGTTTTCATCCTTCCATCATACCCTGAATAAAATGTGATCACTTTATATACTCAATTTTCAAATTGAATTGCTAAGGGAGAAAATTTATTATTGGTGCTGAAAAAATGTATCAACACAATTGTGTTCAAATTTTACCATGTCATGAACAAATATCCTCGTTCACGTTGGGGAAGAGCAAAGTAAAATGACTTTGAGCATTTGTAGGTAAATAGGCAAAGAAACCAAGTGGGTGTTTTAAGATCCTTTTAGGCTCTATAAAGTAAAAAAAAAGCTACAACACCCCCCACCCCCCAGACAGTCCTGAGAGAAAACTGGCAGAAAGGTTTAAGTAATATGCAGACAGATGCAAACCCACTTTCATATCTCGTAGCTGCTTGACAGTCTGTTCCTGTTCCACCTCCAGAGCCGTGTCTCTGAGCCCAGGGGTTGGAGAGCTGGCAGCAGGAGAAACTCTTTGGTTCCTGGTGTGACTGTAAATTCCTGCCTTGTTTTGGCTGGTCAGCACTCTGTGACACTGGTGCTGTGTGTCCAAGGCAGGAGTGGTGCCAACATCCCACTTTGCACCTCACAGTCGGTCTGTTCAGCCTTTCCAGGCTGGGAGTGCTGGGTTGGGATTTGCTGTTTGTCCTTCCTGTCCACACTTCCAGTTCTGTTCCTTCGTGGTGCAGAAGGGTCCCACTGAAATCTGAGGAATGCCAGAGTTTTACAGTGTCATGCCATTAAATAAGTCTGAGTTATGAAGATGCAATAATCCAGGTATCTTCCTTGTTTGTTTTCTGGGTGAGTGTTTCTCACAGATGTTCACACTGATCAAGCGTTTCTCTAGAATTCCAGCTCTGTGTGACTGAGTTGCTCTAATGCTGTGCTTTATTTCTTAGCTCAGCCAAATTAGAGTGTCCCAAGGATACCTGTGGATCAGTTAACCAGGATGGAAAGGAGCAGTGAGTATATTCCATTATGCTGAGAGCTGTAAAGTTCTCTTTCCATTTTTGCTGCAGCACACAAAGAGTGTTTTCAGGAGGTCATAGCTGGCTCAGCAGTTTTTGCAGAGGAAAGAAGCCACCCTAGGCAGGTAGTCTAATAAAACAGTTCTGCTGAAATTATTTGAAACTTACCTTCCTAAGGAAACTGGAAATACAATTTTACCATTCTAGTCTTGCAGTAAAAATTGGCTTGAGGTGGAATTTTGATAACACGTTTCCATTCTTTCTGTTCAAATGTGAACAAAAGACAATGTACCAGCTGAAATAAATCTTTCTTTCAAGGCCACCTGAGGCACCAGAGCCAAGCTGGTCATTAGGACACCCCAGGCATTTTCTGCACATTAATTAAAGGAGCAACAGTGTTGTAAAAAGAATACAGCAGGGAACTGGAAAATCAAACCAGTTCTTCCTGGGGAACTGAGGCCCAACTTCAGGACTTGGTTTTATAGTTTAGATGCCAAAGAGCAAGGGAAAAAGTCTGCTCTACTTCAGCAGCAGTTTTTCACACGTTCTTTGTGTTTTAGAGAGGTACTGCAGTCACACCATTGTCTAAATTTAAAGAAAAACATGTATCACGTTGGATATTTGTGACACCCTTGAATAATTTCTGAAGAAGTCAGAAAGAAGTCACAAATTTCCTTCGGGGACAAGTTGGCTCTTACAGTCTTCCAGTTACTTGAAAAATTAAAATGCAGACCAGTAGTAAGGCTGCAAAACTAAACCTGCAAATAACTGTTAAAATGCAGCAGATTATTTTAAACCTCGATAGCCTTGAGATGGTTGAATTCTGGTGATGGCAACTCCAGTTCACATGTTTTTAACTCTGATTTCCTCAGTGTTCTGTTACCTGCAGTAGGATTAATGATCAAGCATGTAAATGAGAGCCAGGCCTGCTGTGGTACAGGCACAGGAACTGCTGTGCTGCCCTAATACTGAATAATTGGTCTGTAATGGAACAGAGATGTCGAGACTCTTAGTGGGGCAGAACAGTATTTCTGGAAATTAGTATTTCTAAATTTGCTTTAAGGACACACACACACTCTCAGATGTTCCTGCTCTGTGTAGGGTTTTAATTTAAACCAAAATATTAACTGCTGTACAGCTTCACTGTGATCCAGGCTGGAACTGTTCAGGATCCAGGGTTTGTGAAGCTGGGCCATGTGCAGCCTGGGCCTGTTTGGTGGGGAAGCTGCACTGGCATTGGTTCCCCCCTGTTTCATGATCTGCCTTTCTTTGGAAGCAGAAGTTCTTCAGTGGGTTATAGTGGATGGGACAGACATTTAAGGTAAACATAAGTTCAGCTGCAGAGGCAGCAGGAATGGGCAGGATTTTGTGGTGCTTTCCAGGAGTCGGAATTCTGAATTCACACTAGAACTGCTGAACAAAATGGGAAGTAATGGAAAGCAGAATTTGGGGATGTGCTCACAGAGAGTAAGGCACAGGGCTTGAGAAATGCTGTGGTTCAGACAAACCCCTGCAGAACTCACACCTGATGACAAGGATTTTCCTGGATTGTTAGACTGAGACAAGTCAAACCTGGGCTGGGTGACTGCAGGACACAGGAAGGGGGCACTCAGAAACGTTTAACTTTCCTCAGGAAAAGTCTGGAAGGGCAGAAAGAGTCTTGGAATGTGGTGTGACAGCCCTGAGTCCCAATACCACACCAAACCCTGGGTACCACAGCCAGTTTTCCACAGCAGAATAAAAGTGTGCCAGCCTGTGGTGTCTGGCTCTGTAGATGATGGCACAGCATCACCTGCACATTTGCAGTGAAGCTCCACTTCCATGAAGCAGAGCAGCAGGAAAGGGACAGCTTTGTGGTCTGTGATGAAAATAGCTCCTTGGTTTGTACTTTGCAGTGAGAAATGGGTGTTTGTATCCAGCTGGGCTGTAGTGTGTTCCTAATTTAGCATTAAAGCTGTAAGTCACTGTCCTTTCCTGTAGATTAGTTCTCTGAACCAGCGTTTGTTCATACTGTGTTTCCTTTAATGTCACCTTGGAAAGATTCCTTGGTGTGTCTTACATTGTGTAAGTACATCATGCACAGGGTCAGCCTGTGTTCTGTGTGCACTGAGTCCACGCTTCCCTCATTTAATCAAAGAGCCTGGTAAAGATCTCCCACTGTCAATCACTAAGGAAGTGCTGCTTGTCAGGTACTCTGCTTTTGCTGGGAAGACCTTACAGGGAGTGGTTATCCCCCTTGGCAGATGGAATGATTGTATGGATAAACCCTTTAACAGAAATTTGGTAATCACTCTGCCCTGAAATTTGTGGAAATCACACAGTGACTCAGTGTCTGCTGTGCCTTTGTGCCCTTACCCATCACTGAGGAGTTTAGAGTGTGGGGTCCACTCTGAACCTTGTGATGGAACCTCAGTGGGAGGCTATTCCTTCATCTCTGTGTTCTGGGGTCTCTGTGTGGATCACTCTACCTCAGTTCCAGCTCTTTGTATGTCCTTGTCTTTGTTTTTTCCATGCAGTAATTAGTCAGGTGAACTGTGCCATCAAACTCACTGCACCTTGTCAGACTAATGTGAAACTTTGTTAAATTCCACCAAATTTATTGAACTCTGTCGAATTATAATTTGGCCTCAATCAAAGATCTGCTGCTCCCTCCTGAGCGAGGTGCATTGCACTCACCCACGGCAGGAGGGACCCGAACTGCAGTTTGGGGCAGGTCTGGCACTGTGTGACAGCAGGGCAGGGGTTCCAGTTTCAAGGAACAACAGAGAGCAAACTGGTGGAAATTTCCTGGTGGAAATGCCTTTTCCCAGTGCACCCTTAACAAAACAAACCAGCCATTTGTTTGGACTTAACCAGAAGGCAGGGAAGTGCCACAGGTCATTGCTCCCGAGTTCAGGTGAGGTGAGATACCCACTGATCATCCCCACCCCACAGTCTGCTGCACCTAAAGCTCAACCAGCTTTCTTGATGCTCTTTCAAGCCTCAGCTTTTTGTCTGGCTGGCTGTCTGGGATCATGTTGGCACTTCTCTCTGCTCTCAGCATCACTGAAGGACACTGTTCCCTGACCCTCTGCAGCCCAGCCTGGGTGATGTTCCTGCAGAAATCCACGTGCAGGGTGTGCAGGGCCCCCCCGTGCAGGGTCACGGCCTGCAGGCTCCGGTCCGTGATCCGCACACAGTTCTCCAGCTTGAGTGTCCTCAGCTTGGGGCAGCTCTTGAGGAGCAGCAGGATGGAGTCATCTGTGACATGGCCACATCCAGACAGGGTCAGGGACAGCAGGTTTGGACACCTGGAAACATGATGGCAACGGGTGAGATGATGGGAGAAATAAATCCTAGAGCTTGGACGAGCTGATACTGTCAGGAGTAAATATGAACTCTGGAACAACAGCTCTTCAGCGGGAGGGGTAAAAAGGCACGGGTGGGGGGACACATGTACATCTCAGTCTTTACAAAGCTTAACCATCTTTGCTTTTTATGTTGGTAGCAACACCTCCAGCTCAGCTGGCACTGGAGAAGGGGCTGTGGAGGCCTCTCTGAGCTGCAGCTCCATTGGTTTTTCTTAGGGAGTTGCCAGGTGCAGTGAGGCACAGGAGAGAAGACCCAGGAGAGAGAAGATTCATTTCAGGAGGAAGGTGAGGACACCTGAGGGAAGAGACTGCTGTATGTGGTCAAGTAGGACACTCTAGCTCTGGATTTTCAGGAATTATGAGTCTGTTTGAGCTCCTTGGATTTACTGAATGGGTGCCAGCTGCTACCTAAGAGTGTTGATGTTTGAACCCCGTGCAGGTCTTAAATTCTCCTTTGAGTCACTGAAACTGGTAAGAACTCCACTCTCAAACAGGGATGCAGGAAGTGAAAAAAGCTTAATTTCGTGCTGCTTGGGGAGCCCTGGGCAAGCCCAGGAAAGGCTGTTGCTGCCTTCCACTGGCTGTCCTTGAGCCAGACCTGGAGCAGCTCTTCGTGCTGACCAGGCAGGGACCCCTGTGCCCACCCTGCAGTGCCTGGTTCCTGCTCACACCTCTCCAGGCAGCGGCAGCTCAGCAGCATCTATTTAACTAAACACAGCCTCCATGAGCACAGTCCTGGACAGAACAG